GTTCTATGATGGATACGCCAGTTACTGTATGGATGTACCGAATATGGTTTTTGCACGCATGCACCGGTCTCCATTGCACCCCACAGTACCGGCCCACCCGCCTCCATTGCACCCCATAACGCCAGCCCACCCATCTGCATTGCACCCGGTAGCCCCGGCCCACTGGTCTTGATTTCACCTGGTTGACCAGCCCACCCGTCTCCACTGCACCCCATAACCCTGGCTCGATTTCACCTCGTTTACCAGCCCACCCGTCTCTATTGCACACCGCAATGCTGGCTCACCCGTCCTGATTTCACCTGGTCAACCGGCCTACCCATCTCTACTGCACCCCGTAGCCCCGGCCCACCTGTCTTGATTTCACCTGGTTGACCGGCCCACCCGTCTCCACTGCACCCCATAGCCCCGGCCCACCCGGCTCAATTTCACCTCCTTTACCGGCCCACCCGTCTTGATTTCACCTGTTCTACCGGCCCACCCGTCTGCACTGCACCCCGTAACCCCGGCCCACCCGGCTCGATTTCACCTCGTTTACCGGCCCACCCGTCTCCATTGCACCCCGTAACACCGGCCCACCCATCTCAATTTCACCTCATTTACCGGCCTACCCGTCTCCACTGCACCCTGTAACACCGGCCCCCTTGTCTACATTACATTTCATCTTCCGGCCCACCCGTCTCCATTGCACCCTGTAACACCGGCCCACCCATCTCCATTGCACCCCATACGGCCGGCCCACCCATCTCAATTTCACCTCATTCACCGGCCTACCCGTCTCCACTGCACCCCGTAACACCGGCCCCCTCGTCTACATTACATTTCATCTTCCGGCCCACCCGTCTCCATTGCACCCCGTAACACCGGCCCACCCGTCTCAATTTCACCTCATTTACCGGCCTACCCGTCTCCACTGCACCCTGTAACACCGGCCCCCTCGTCTACATTACATTTCATCTTCCGGCCCACCCGTCTCCATTGCACCCTGTAACACCGGCCCACCCATCTCCATTGCACCCCATACGGCTGGCCCACCCGTCTCCCATTGCACCCTATTCCCCGGCCTCCTCGTCTCCATTGCACCCCATATGGCTGGCCCACTCGTCTCCATTGCACCCCATTCCCCGGCCCCCTCGTCTCCATTGCATCTCATCTACCGGCCCCCTCGTCTCCATTGTGCCTTATTTACCGGCCCACTCGCTATCACACACTGGATTCACCACCATTCATAATCACCTATATAGTACATTGCTATACTACCATGTATACTATATACCCCCGGCCCATCTGTTTGCCTCGGATACACCACACCCTCGGCCCACTCGTCTATCACGGTACAATTATTGCCACCGGCCCACACCGGATGGCTCGTCTCTATCGGTACATTGTCACGCCCGGCTGCCCGTCTCAGACGGGTGAATTCACTGAAGGGGCTCAGCTTCTCTCTTTATTATGCTAACTATACTAATATATGATGCGGAGGATCCGAACATGGTCTTATGAACCACTGCCTCCACCACAATAATGCGTTGCAACTTACACCATTGTATTCACACGTCAAACATGTCTCCTCTATGTGGGCCCGGAGGCTAAAATTTGGTCTTTAAATTAGCGCTCATATCAGAGAAATATAGCCTGGTGGATGGACGACTCCCTCTTCGCACCTCAGCAATGGTCGAGTTCTATGGAGGTGCGTGCTTGATCTTAGTCGGGCAGCAAATGTTGGAGGGACCACAATCTCCGAGAGGATGTGTATTACGCAGATAGCGAGCCCGTGACTCCGTGATGTTCACAGTACCCACCCTCACGGTAGCTCACAAAGGTCCGCCATATCGTCACCTCTCCCGGATTTGCATTCCATCCATCGGCGAACTCGGACTATGTGAGTTTTTCATTCATCAATAAACTGGCCTGTTCTTTCCTTGTGCTCCTCACAGTCCCCCAATACAATTAGATTAGCCGTTGTGGGTTGATGAAACTTGTCCACAACTTACTGTTTGGTTATGTAATGCCAAACATTTAACGTCGAATAACACGTTCAAGACGCTCAAGAGTTAGTAGTTATCTTTGCTTCTCCATCACTAACACTTCTATCTATTAAAGTCGTTGCAAGCTCTAAAGGAAGATTTTTACCTTATCGATTTTCCTTCTAACGTCTTCATTTAAGATCGCGACCCTTCAGCAGACTGGAGTTTCCACCGGACGACGACCCTTCAAACCCGTCCTTCCGGAAAAGCAGCCTCATGTTCAGACCACCAATGTGCAGTCTCGTGATTGTCTTGTCTAGTCTGCGGAATAACACTGCCCGGAAACATTGCGCGAGCGAAGCGCCAATAACCAGCGAGAACACTGCCAGAACCCGAGCGTACGAGTTCATTGTGGAATGGTCGGGCATATACACTTAGACCTCAAAGATTATTTCAATCCTAAGTGTGGCTTGGTGCCTCCAGAGTGGATTGCCCCGTATAGGGGCGTTTACGACGACGACGAATTTGTGAGCATTCCAATCGACACCGTTTACGTGCTAGCTGTGTGCTCGGATCAAGAAGACGACTTTGAATGGTGTCCTGCGCAGGAAAAGATGGACTTCATAATAAAGTTGAACGGACGTACCGCAGTGGTGGGTGAGTTGTAGGTATGCTGATTGAGTGCGAGTAGCGACTGGTTGGAACGAAGCTCATGCACTGTACTAATTGCACAAATTGTATTAGGCTCCAAATCACGTTCGTGCCATGGTATCTTTCCCGGTGTCCGTGGTGCTGGAGAAACATGCTTGCTGCTTCGAGATATACTGCGAGTTCGTATCCCTTGGTCTTACGGCTTGCTACCGGAGACAAAAAGCTTCGCTCTAAATACGCATCACATCCTAAGGTCCACTGTGCACCAGGAGGCACTTGTTCATCCAGCCTCAACCCACTGATGGTGCCCGATACGAATCTGCCTCGGTCCGGAAACGGCCGAGTAGTAGTCCATACCAGTCAGACTGGGGGCCCTGTGATGAAGCATCCATCGCTCTGGTTAGGTTTACCCAACTGTAAACTTCCCTGTCTATGGGTCATAGGTTTCTTGGCGTCCCTGATCAGCTGGCTGTATGCACTGAGTCATACCTCCGTACCATTTACTCTCATTGGTATATAGGCTTAGAGGTAGTAGCACCTGTACAGCACCAGAAAGGCGAGCGGTCAGGGTAGCGGTAGCCCACTGGCGAGAGCTTTCGCAGGCTCGAAACCGTTGTCCTAGTGACCCTCTTCTCTGGCTGACAGCACTCAACCTTCGGGGACAGCGGATGCCAAGGTCATGGTTAGCCTAGCGTTGTTCGGATGGACGGGGGTCATATGCTGCTTCGCTTCGCTAGGACCTGGTGATTCATATATGTTGTTAGTAACTCAGTCGCTTTGGTATCATCGAAGCCGCGAGACATCCCGGACAAAAAAACTTGCGTCGTGCGCGAAAGGCAACCCAGGCGAACTGTCAGATCTACTGCAGCCATCGACACTTTTCCACCTCCCAAAATCCTGCGCGCGCAAACCTCGCGCAGGAACATAGCCACCTGTTACCGGGGGCAGTGTCTCAGCTGTTTCTCCTAACTTACACAGGGAAGCGTGAGAGTCTTGGCTGGTGCATTCATGAGGGACTCGACCGTTTGATGTTGCTACTAGAAGTACTTAGGGGTAGGCACTAGCGCGTATTCATGAGTAACGGATGTGACAATCGCAGTATAACGAGCCCTCCGACAGAAAATTTCAAATGCCTATCTTCCCGATCATCAAATTTTCGACGTCTCGTATGGCAAGGGAGTTTCAATAGCGTGAGGCGGGATAATGTCTCGGACTGCAACCTGTACAATCTTTGAAATCGTTAACCACGTAGATACTAGAGAGCCCAGGACAGCTTACCCGAACTAGAAGCAGATATAGCTGGTCCCCTGATATAATCAGAGACACTGATTATTTACTGCAGCTTCCATATACGGCAACAGGTCAATCACCGTCCTTTCAGTAACATTCTTCAACGCGTAGAGCAAGTCAAATGTAAGGTCTGTTGGCAATCAGCTGGCATGAGAATGACACCTCTTTGAAAGGAGTTAGTAGGTTCTTCCTAAAACACTATTTTCAGGATATAAAAGCAGCAGTGTTCGTACCGTCCTACCTCAGAATTATTTATCTCATATCGCATCGCACAATGCGTTTCTCATCCGTCCTCACAGTTGCTGCTGCTTTGACTGCATTTATGTCTGTCAGCGCAGTTTCGGACCGTGATGATTGTGTCATTTATTGCGATGGCCCTACACCTTGTTGCCTCGGTGACACGTGTACAGAGTTAGCCTCCGTGAGTTTTCTTTACATTCTGGATTACGCCATGACTCACCGACCTGGTAGGCTGAAACTAGCATATGGGTGTGTTTATGATAACAAGTTAAGCCCGACTGGCAGGTTTTGGCGGTGAGTTACTTCTCTGCTTTCGCATTGGTGTATTTGATGCACGATATGCAGAGCGTAATTCATTGCTGAGTTGATAGAGATGGCTTGCTTGTGGACAAACTTCACTGCCGCTTGAGCAATGAAGACCTTGGAATAGAGGATTCAGAGTCCAGACTCGATATGACGATGTCTTGAATACAAGACATCTGACTGAAGTGCTTACGACGTATTGATATTGCTATATAAGCTTGAACATCAAAAGCATCATAGACATGACGCATGCCAGCTGAACTGATTGCTGTTGATTAGAGAAATTGTTTGCGTTGTTTATTAGTCATCGAATCGATCTTTGGCCTGTTTTGGTAGCACATATGGAGGTGGGCAACACCCGCCAATAATGCGTGACGCTTTAATATATAATCGAAAAACCCCTAATCAACTCAAAATTCCGCGAAACACGGCTAAAAAAAGACAAAACAATATATATTGTGGTGTAGAACACATCTACGCTTCTAGTGCGTTACTATGTCAGAAATGAGTGTAAATGTAATGTATGTTATGTATGTGCGTTGAAACGAGGGACTATTCGCTAGTATTTGAGTCATGGCCCGTAGCTGTAGCAACAATCATGAAATCTGCGACATCTCTTACCATTTCACCTCTAGCGCGAACCTCGCATCGCTGAACGAGAGCTTTAAGAACACGATAACACTGCTTCTTCGACCTCAAGTAAGAAATCTTGGGGATTTTCGTCTCGTCTTTGAGGCGCCTGTGGACTTCTAGTTGGTCCTTCAGCGCAGGATCTAGTGGCAAAGACTTGAAGGCGGTCAAGGATCTACAACAAGCTGAAGGCCAGAGAAGGAGTCCAACTTTTCAGCCTTCTCCGAGCCTTGGCAGCCACCGTCAACTCATATGAGCTGCTGTGATTCTAAGAGCCTCACTGGTGTGTCTAACACGTTTGCTCTATAACCCTTGACCACCTACCTAGCGGGTACCCCCAATTGCTTTGTTTTACCGTTCGCACTTTGAATCATTGGCCATAGCAGCGAGCAAAGATCAGATAACAATAGTAGTGGTAAATCTCAGACGTAGTTACAAGCACTGTAATATTAAGAGTAATTGCAGCTCCCCACTCCCCCTCGACACGATGTCGGCGAACCTGGCAAGACTGAACGCTGCGATTGTAGCCCATGAACAACTCGAAAACAAACAGCCGACCTTTAAAGACGAGAAGTCCCAGTTCCTATGCAACGTGAACAAACTTCTCGAAGCAGAAAAAACACACCTGAAGTTGCAACAGAAAGATGCGGACGGGCGCTTGCGACGATTGGAGGACAGGTCGGTATTGAACAGATTGACGCTGGTGATAACAGAAATTCAGAGAATGACGAGGGTGAACAGATGGCTGACAAGTGAAGGCGGGCTGCGGAGGAGGAGGATCACATCCGCACCTGACGTCACAAGAGGAAGTGATGAGCGCTTGCAGCCGATCTTTTGGATCCCGTGCTGGTTCTGTCGCCCATAGCTGCGATGGTGTCTGTGTATATGAAACGGCATGAATAGAGGGTTCGACGGGTTACAGTTCACAGTACCTTGTGCTCGAATGAAACTTTTCCACTCATTCTGGACCGTGATATCGCAACCCGTGCCTGTTATAAGTTGTCTGGCTTTCAAAATGCATCAGTAGTTAGAAGGTTCAGAGACATCGAATACTCACGAATTCGAGTCAACGACGGCGACAACAATGGCACCTTCTATCACCAATGTAAGCAAGTAACCAACAGAACGGGACTACTAAACACTCTCTCTTGCAATCATCCTGGCAGCAATGAAAATCTGCAGAATGGCTTCCGTACGCTGAGAATTGTCGGGCAAGTAGTAACTTGATTGTGATCGCCACTGCACCATTAATGCTGCAGCCTTCAGGCCCCAGAGCCTGGTTTCGTGCACATCCCGAGTGTCCATGTCATCATTAACTGTAGGCAAATGAGTGAAATGAACGTACAATGAGCCTCCTATAGCTAGTTGTACGCAGAGCCTATAATATAATCGTCGTCACCGTTGTGGTGCAAGAGTGTTGTGAAGTTGCGGCTGGGTCAAGGGTTCTACAAGTTATGCACGTAATTGGACTTAGAAACAAAATTATAATAGAGATGAGGGCACCCACTCGGAGTAGAATGTCGCCAGGATTTAGACATAATGAGGGGATTGTGCGAAGTCCTAGCGCTGCTATGAATATGAGCATTATGCGTGACGGATGTCATGCGAATGTCTAGATTCGTGTCAGAAGTGTCTCTCGCTTCTACCACACCTTCCTACAGCCTCAATTTGAACTTCCTCCCATCGCCTGGTGTGCAGACTCGTGCAGCCGAGCGTAACAACCTCAGCTTCCTTTTTCCCGCTCCTCGGTGACTTGTAACACCCTCCTCGCGCTAAACCTCACCATCAAGTACTGCCCTTCTACCCAACCTCGAGGCTCCACCTCTCGCTGCATTCATGACATCTGTCACCCTTCGTCATGTCCCTCAAGGCCACCTCCGAGTCACTACACTCACCCACCATCTCCCCTGCCCAAACGACATATGTACATCACTGCCTCTTCGCCCAGTTATTCAGTGTGGGGGACGTGGTGACTCTATAGACTATCCCCATCTTCTCCGCATAATTCCTGATGCCGCATGGGATTATTTTTTTGCAACTTCCTTTAGATTGTTTGCCTTACTTGACATAGTGTATTGAGCAATTGGTCTTATGAATTTAAAGACGGAAGGCATGTAGAAGCGCGTGCTCATGAGTAACGGATATCGTAGCAACATGAGCCCTTCGTGAACTGTCGAACCGCAAAGCACCGATATCTTCCCCGGCATCAAATTTCGACGTCTCGTAGTATGTACAGCGAGGGATTTTCAACAGCGTGAGGCCAGATAATGTCTTGGACTGCAACCTGTGCCATCATCGTTGACCACGTGGATAAATAGAGCGCAGAAGACATCTCACCCGAACCAGAGGCGGGGGTCAGGCCTCCCCCCTGCTATAGTCAGAGGCACAGGTGTTTCAACTTTCGTTTTTTCTGCGAGCGCTAGACGGGTTAGTCTCCCGTAAACAAATAAAATAGAAGGGGGATACAGTCGTTCCTTCAAACGAGCGTCAGGCGATTCAGAAGTGATACGTCCCCTTCGGACGAATCATCCTACGGTATGCGGGCATTTCAGAGTTCAGCTCCTGTATGGGGTAACGGGTAAATCATTGCCGTTTCATAAAGCTCTTCCATCCATACCCAGACATCGGTAATTCTATCCCATCCCGTGCAATCGGACATGACTGACGGTGCCTAGTTGTATTGAAAGCATCGCATCTTCCCGCCGAGGTCTGGTGTGCCGAGCGAGATTTAAGGCCTGCCGGCATGTAAATGAAGTCAGTTTGAAGGGGGATAGGTTGTGCCTGCACTGACCGTCAAGCTCCGCCCAGAATTTTTCAAGGCATAAAAGCGAGCAGTCTTACGGCGCTCCCCTCAGATTGTTTGATCCCATATCATATCGCACAATGCGGTTTTCTTTCGTCATCGCCATTGTCGCTGGTTTGACAACATCTATGTCTGTCAGTGCCGCCGATAGTCTATGCCCTACCATTTGCTGCAGAGTGTTTTCCGGAAAAGAGTGCAGTCGAGATACATCTCCAGATGTGTGAGTAGAGTAGTTTGCTTGCATCCAGAGTTTCCCCATGATTCACCGGCCTGTAGGTTGGGTTCGTAGATGCCTGTCGATAATAAGTCAAGCCTGAGTGGCAAGTCGCGACAGTAAGTCGTGTTTCTGCTTTGCAGTGTGGTTGATGTACAATGTTTACTGAATGGTTCGTTGCTTAGTTGATCGAGGTATTTGCTTCTGGAAATTTTTCGACGCCATTTAAGCAATGGAGACCTTTGAATAGTGGATCACTCAGTGTAATATTGACTTGAAAAATACGTCTGCCTGAAGTACTTACCACGTATTGCTCTTGTTGTGAACTTCAACATCAAAAGCCTCATGAGTTGACATAATAACTTATCGGACACCTACCTGTATCGATCTCGTGTAACTGCAGACTGCCTCATTTCCTTTGGTTGTGTTGGTTCTTCGTGATCACCCGATAGGACATTAGGGCGATGAGATGAGATGATGAACCGTTGCTAACATGAATTTGAATTACCTAGCCGGTCTCCAAGAGTATCAAGCGCCACCGTACGTGTGGGTAGGGGCCAGACAGTGCGTGGGTGTTTGGAAGTGGGTGGGCGTGAGCGTGCTGCGGGAGGACGAGCCCGGGGTGAGAAGGGTGCGTATTTTGAATCTCAATTTCGTGGTGAGGCAGAGATAAAGACTAAGATCCGCGTACCGCTCATACTTGTGTGCGATGTTAAATAAACGATGGGTGAGCACAACAAAGTTGAAATCAGTTTTGGCCCTGCTGGTAAAAATTCAACAAAAGTTCTAACCTCTGACCCAGTACAAAAATCAGCTGTTTGGCGCACATCCACCCATTCCGTAGCCTGCAAGAGCACGCCCATGTACATTCCTTCTAGGTTCCTTTTGATGGCGGTATCTTCTTTGCGGCCATGTGCGTGACACTGCGTGTATTACTTTTTAAATCGATACAGGGAAATCATGATTTCTCTGTGGCGCTGAAAATCGTGATTGCCCTGTATTGAATAGGATGTGCTAAGAACGACTCGTGGTCCTAGCCAAGATGTAGTGTTGCCGCGAGGCGAATCGAGTCGAACCGAGGTGGAAAATTGTGGTAACTCGACACAGTTCGACACTTACGAGTTGCAACGAGTTGTGCCTCGTTTGACTCGCGAGTTGGTAACGAGTTCGGAATTGATGCGGACCGGTGGTCCAGCCAATGAGAAGCCAGGGATGCTAGATACTGCTAACAACGATTATTTGCAAGTAACTACACATTGAGGCGGTCTTGCTTGTAAGCGAACTTCAGAACTTGTAGTGCTTCGAGTGTGGTCGGAGATAGGTTGCTGCGCCGTAGAGTGCAGGTCTCTTTGCTTGATGAAAATATGCGCTCGGAAGGCACAAATGAAGCTTGAGCAGGCAGGACGTCCATAGCAACGCAAAATTTAGCCTTGTTCACCATTTGCACTGGGGGCAGGAGTTGTTGGACCAGGTGAAATGTTCCGAAGTGATTGGAAGGATCCACTTGGAGTCTGGAGTGGAGATAATGTACTTTGGTGAGAATTCAAGTGTTCAGGACTGAGATGACTCGGAGGAAATGACCACAGGCCAGGATTCTGCTGCAATGACATGGGGTCAAAATGTTGCTCGCAGCAACAGCTCTGAGCCACGATGGTATTTAAGTGTTTTACTTCAATTGAAAATTTGATAGCATCCAGCCAGGGTCTCAACACCCGAGAGTGACAATCTACTAGATCCCGGGTTCTTTTGGATGTTGAAGGGGAAGCTGCCAGTCTGCTGCAGCTTGTGCCAATTGCAATGGGATATAATGATATTGACCATTATGATTTACAGGGGATTACGATGTATGGATGTGAACTACACAAACTCGATTCTAACTCGCGAGTCCAACGAGTTGTAACTCGATTTAGTTCGGAAGGTTCGAGTTGAAACGAATTTGGTCATTTTCGAGGCGAGCCGAATTTAGCTCGAGTTGAACTCGCCTCGACAGCAACACTACCAAGATGGCATTCACAGGAAATGCTTATGTCATCCACGTCATCCATAACCGGACACGTGAGCTAACTGCGTTACTCTTTCCTCATGTTCGACGCTGCAAGGAAATACGTGTACGACCGGCGTCGTGGGTTATTTGAGACGTCGGTTGTGCTCTGTGGAGCGTATGCTGTGAACCGCTATGTCAACGAGAGATTGGAGGAAGTCAAGGAGAAGGTGGTCAGGGAAAGAGCGGCTCGAGAGGCGTATGTCCGCTGACACTTTCAAAAAGTATCGATACCTGCTCATTCACTATTATCAGACTTCGAAGACGCTTTCAGAGTACCCATGATGACGCATGCTTTACTATCATGGCACTCGTCCCTACGCTGGCCGAGCAAATTCTCGAGGAGATGGATGTCGAGTCGCTTACAGACGAGCTTCAATCTCTGTCACGTACATCCCGTACTCGATCCCGTTTTCAACATCCAGGATCTGAATCCGAATTTAGTTCCGTTTCGGACGTACACTCAGATGCTGGGTCTGCGTCGGTGTCGTCCTATTCGTCCTATTCAGGCGTCGATGGAGAAACGTCGTCAAATCTGGTGGCATCAACTGGCAGCTGGGTCGATCGCTTTTCCAGCTCCTCCTCGTACAGGAGTCCGATCGAACAGCTGCAGCAACCCCACGATTTTCTTGCCTCTGCTGGTAATCGACTTTCTGACTCCATCACTACCGCTAGTTCCTCACTGAGCTACAATCCTGGTGCCCCTCTTCATGTGAGCTTCTCGCATCTGTAACGTCTGGATCTGAGTTTACGCTTAAACAGGAACCACGTGCTTCCATGTCTACCTCCATGAGCGAGAGTAGCACCCGAACGAAAGCACAATTATGGAAGGAAGTAAAAATGTTAAGTACGTTGTCAAACACGGTATTCTTTGCAATTTGCTCATGCAATATATGTTAGCACTGACCCGCACACTGACAACTCTCTATACAACTACCTTGTTGTCTCTTCTCACAAGCATACAGCTAGCACTTTTGGCACGTGAACGCTACGTCACCTCGGTCCTCTCTACCGAACGCGCCGAACGCATCCGCGAGGCAGCGCCAACGCTTTCGGGGCTTATCTTCCGTGAGGCTGTATCTCGTGTTGTCGACGTTGAGGCAATATGGCCGGCATGGTGTGCAGGCCAAGAGGGCTGGGATGAAGAAGTCGAAGGCATATCAGAGGAGACCGAGATGCGCTTTTTGACGCTGAGTTGGTGGATATTACATGTGGGGTGGAAAGATGTAGCCGCAAGAGTGCGAGGTAGCGTCGAGGCAGTTTTTGAGGGGTATGTGCTTCGTTAAAGTATATGCGCATATTTTAATGATATTTTACTGCCAGAGTATCTCTCAAGACGAAATTATCGCCTTCTGAGCTTCATGTACTGATCATGGATGTTCGACGGCGCGTTGAGCGGGATGGCACTGGAGATAACAAAGCAAGCATGTCTGGCCGGTAAGTAGTATCCCCTGGTTGCCACGTTCATTTTCTCACTCCAACACTTAGCTTTCTTGGCTCTCTCCTTCCACCGACTCCCGAAACGACAGCCCATGTACTTGCACAAGGGGGCGCTCTCCCCCAAGTCCCCTTTGAACCCTCGCCCCTCCCTAGTTCCTCCATCTCGTCGCTGCGCGACTGCGATGACTCTCTCCCAATTGCCGGTCCCACACCTCGCGAAGGTGTCTTCCCAACACCACCCTCCTCTATTCCGCCGTCTTCCCCATCACTATCATCCAGCCGACCTGCCCCAAACACAGCATCCCCACCCCCGCCGTCACAACCCCGCGCCGAGCTCAACGACCCAATATTTTCCTCCCTCCTCTCGCAGACCAGAGCATATCTCGTCGGCCCAGACTTTGCATACGCACTCAGCGCTGCGCTCGACCGCGCCACGGGCGTACTGGTAGACGGACTCCGTGCGAAGGTATTCGTAGACTCGAGCACGACGAATGCTCTGGAAGGGTTGTCGGCGACTGATCCGATAGATTTGACGATGGAAGAGGAAGCGAGGGAGGAAATAAAGATACGGCTGGCAGGTCTTTTGCCTGGATTGGCGCGGTGGAGCCAGCTGGCGCTGAATGCCGTGCCGAATGAATTGGTAGATGTGAGTGTTTGATTTTTCTTTGCCTTTATCATTTGCTTCTTGTATCGGGCCTTGGATATCACGCTCATCTCATTTGATTCATGTCATGCTGTGAATGCTTCGACTGACCGTCTTTTTTGACAGAATGTTATGGCCGTGCGCGAACTCGGTGCGTTGGAGGCAATTGTCATGTCGGATTACCAAGATCGATACACTAGTTGATGCTGAGAAGTCATGCTACGTTGTACCTCCTGTCCTGGCTAATGCATCTAAAGAGAATATCATTAATATAACTTGGAAGTGATTCATGCTGGCTGGGGGCTTACAGCAATGACAAAGGAGATGGTACCCCACTGAAGGCGGGGTCGCGGAGTCTAAAAACCCGTCTACTTTCTCTCACCATAACATTGTCACTACTTCGCAATTCCTCCGCCCCGCACCAGCCTGATAATCCATTCGGGCTATGCTCCTAGTGGGATACCGGGGAGGAGGGGTACATCCGCTGTGAATGTTTCTCCTGTTTTGAGCAGACGCTGTCTGAGCCAGAGATGTATTAAACTCTATTCTTAAATTCAAACTTCTGATTGGCCCACTGGTGCGTGTCTGGGGTCAGTGGAAACGGACAAGAGACTGAATTGCCGGAAGGTGTGTTCCTTGCTTAATGATCATGCTAAGTCAACGATCTTTCTTGTTAATGATACTTGCATGTTGGACGTCCATTAATCATATCTCCCGAACTTACTGCTAGTGGCGAACCCATGGGCATGGCCCTTCTCCAGGAGGTTGCGGCCTCGTATACTAGTTCACGGTACTCGAGATGTAGATGGAGCTTCATAGATCATTTGTCCCATCAGTGACTCACTAATGCTTAAGCTTGACCACGGGGTTCATTGTGACGTTATCATTACCTTTATCTGGCAGGTATATGAAAATCACGTTGCCACTATCGTTGTTCCTCCAAATCTTCAACTCCCTGTCCACATTTTTCGAGGAAGCGACCCCCGGCACAATCCCAGTCGCAAATGGCATGTAGTATAGTCTGTCCTCGCTTTGGGGATGTGGGTCTGTACAAGGTGTGAATGTTGAATCACGATAGGATGTTCACAGAGTCATGGATCATTTACCCCATTCACACTCCTCATCACCCTTGTGTATGGCGGCTGGGGGTATTCACAGGGCGGGGCGGGAGAAATCACACTTCAACTCTTGCCGAATCTACGACCTGTTACTTGCTAAGCCTTGATACTTCAACGCCCTTCACGATCTGGGATCGTGCTTCCGTTTGCACGCGATTTCACGGTCCCTGATCTAGGTCTTTTCGTCATCTTTTCGAGCCCATTCTCATCGATCTTAGGTGAGCAGAACCAATATCACGTGTCAAATCTATGTACATTTGCGGAACTTCAAAAATCACAGTGCCTACGACACCATACCTGTTCCGACTAGTATGTGATTCGGTGACCTCCGCTCGCATGCGGAGTGCCAGAACCTAAGGCTTTTGTTTTTCGAACCCAGTTACGACAGACTCAACCCTCACTGTGATCCAGTCTCTCGCGCTTCTAAACAATGGCTTCTTAACGGTGCGCGTCTTGTAAAGCCCAACATCACTGCATTTATTGGCTTGCTTGCAAGTGAACTCAGTGCAGCTTGCTATCCTGATGCGGATGCTGTCCATCTCCAAATCTCTTCGGACTTCTTGAACTGGTTGTTTAATATGGACGACTGGCTTGATGACTTTGATGTCGACGGTATGTGGGGAATGCGCGAATGCTGTATGTCTGCGCTTCGCTATCCCATCAACTTCCAAACGGAAAGACTTGGTGGAAAAGTGTGCAAATAGTACGTCGAATTATTTTATCACATTCACCTTCGAACAGTCTTTATACTGTAATTTTACGGTTTTCAGGTTCTTTAGCCACTTTAAGGAGACTGGTGGCCCCGGCTGCACCGAGCGGTTCGCCCACACAATGGACTTGTGTTTCATTGCTGTGGCTAAGCAAGCGCATGGCCGTGCCATGGGATGTATCCCTGATGTTAAATCTTACATCGCCACGAGGCGAGACACGAGCGCTTGCAAGCGTTGTATTGCCCTCATTGAATACGTAGTTCGAATTGATCTTCCTGATGAAGTCATGTCACATCCAATACCCCCCCCCCCCCCCCGCGTGGGGAGAAGAGCTTAACAGGCAGGTGGCCATCTATGTCGAAGGGCTGCAGAACTGGATTGTCGGTTCGCTGTACTGGTCCTTCGATTCCACCCGCTATTTCGGGAAGGATGGGTATACGATCAAACGGGACCGAACTTAACTGTGACGATTTGCGTCGTAGAACGCTACATCATCCGCGTCTTATGAAATTCTTACTCTATATCCACGACATAGGTTACATGCTCTTGCTTTTTATTTTCGTAGTTCTAGGTTCTTTGTTCTCCTGCGGCACCTTTCTATTCAATGTCCCGTTTGCTGGTCACGTATCACCACTGTCAGTGTACATAGAATTATCTCACATTCTGGTGCAAATAGAAGCCATCAGCGAAACCCTTATAATATTGTGTTATGAAGTTGGTGGGCGAGCTAAGTATTAACATGCCTCGTGTGAAGTCGTCAATAAGTATAGTGTATCGTGCCAACTTTGTGTTCTTGAAAGATCGGAAGAGATCGAGAACTATGCGAATTAGCAATCATTGAAATGGTCACGATCAGGGAGGAACTTGTCCAGTTTAAGGTACGGCTTGCAGCAAGCAGGGCGGATAGAAGGAACATGTGATGCAGGGGATGATCGAAAGTGTTCAGACGTCTGATTTCAGCGAATCGACTCGGATGGTGAATGCGAATATTCATAGCCAACAGTACTGGGGAGGGATTCTAGGGGTGTAAGCATCGAAGAATACTAGTCTGCTAAGCCAGCATACGATACCGAGTACAAAAGGTAGTAGTATACAGGTGATGGCGAAGTCATCTCAATTTAGATCTTCATGCTTATCCTAGATCTAAGTGAAAGGCAGTTGATGACCATAGGATGGGTAACATGACTGAAAAGACTCACTAGAGAACCAAGCCCGTAAGCTAGCCTTGGTAGCTTCATCACTTGCGTCCATCAACTTCCGGTACGGTTCCAGTGCTTCTCCAAGTCTACCCGCCCGAATGAGTGCATGACACTGCTGCTTGTGTGCGGTTTGCCACAACGACTCGAGGTCCCACCCGAAGAGCTGCAAAAAACGCACAGTTGAGCATGGAAACGATTGTCGGTTGCATTATGTCAACGTACCACGATGAATTCTTCGAACATGGAATGAATCGGCGAGCTGGAAAAGAAATCGCTCGCATTGACAGCAGTCGTGAAGTGGTCAACAGCTTCCTGGTGACGCCTGTTACGCAATGCAATGATTCCCAGTTGGACACGTAGATATGCCTGATGTGCAAAGCGCAGAAATTCAGCGTCAGCGTCAGCACGCGAACCTAGACTTAATACTCACTTCCACGACACGACGAGCAAGAGGATCCGTATCGGGGAAATCGGTGGCTAGCTCTTCGATGCGCAACATTGCCTCTTCATGTTTATTTGCGTTGAACAGCACGATAGCCTGTAAACCCGTAAGGAAGCGCGTCCCAGTATGTAATAAAACGGTAGCTTGCCTTGATCAAGAACAGGAAATATGTCGTTTTCGAATCTCCGTTCGCAGATACGAATGCGAGATCAAAAGTTTTCATAGCGTCCCTAATCTGCCGTTTCCCGCAGAGGGCAATTCCCTTGGATATATAGCCCACCAACGAGGGCCTTATGCGGATGGACTATGTGAAGATCAATGTTAGCCTACATTGAGTGGGTCAGGGTATCTCACCTCAACTGCATCTTGAAGCGCGTTGTCCCATTCCATTTTGCGCGCCATAATCAACGAGCGGTTGGCATAGGAGGTGTAGTTGTTGACGTCTGCATTGATCTCTCGCGTGAGTAGCTCTTCAGCAGTAGCCAAGTCCCCCATGATGCACGCATTGCGAGCGGTCGGGTTCATAGCGAGGATCTATATGAAACATGGTTGAATTATGTTACACGAGCCAAGGGTGGAAATTTCTACACGCCTTTGGAGCAGAGTCTTCACCCTTAAAGACGCAAGATCAGATGGCGAATGGGCGGGAAATCAACGGGAAAGTACCTTTGACGCCGGTTCCTTGGAAGCCTCCTCTGACAAAGCGTCCTTGGGTACTGCCCACTGTGATATCTTGCCATCATCTCCTCCGCTGAGAATGTGTTTCCCATCCATAGAGAACGCTGTGCAAAGAGCAGAGTGCTTGAAGACGGCAATAGTTTGTCGATCAGAGAGCCGCCAGAGGCAGACATTGTCTCCAGTTGCGGAAGCGACGAGCTTGCCAGCTGGATGGATGGCAATGGCGTTGGACGCAGTGTTCACAACGCCCGTCCAGGGATCACCAATCTGGTTCCAAGTCGACACATCCCACTCCCGTATAGTGCGATCATTGTTATCTCCTCCTGAGAGAAGGCGAGTACCATCGGGCGTCCAGGCGAGTGAGAAGGTCCATGTGTAGTGTAACTGCCCAAACAATATTATTGTTGTGTGACCCTTCAAGTTTGCGATGCATTGCCTGGTGCCTGTATTATAAATTTCGATAACATTGCTCTCTGTTGCAATCGCAAGAAGTTCGCCGGACGGCGAATAGCGAATGCAGTTGACATCTGCACCACAGTTGATTGGATCTCCTTGCTGCTGCCACGTAACTGTGCTCCACAGCTTGGTCGTTCGGTCCCATGAACCAGTGGCGAGCAGTGTTCCGTCTGGTGAAAAGTCCAACGAAGTGATCTTACAGAAATTTCGATGGGCTGTGATGATTCCGCTGAGATCTTCCCCAGTTTCTCCATGCCAGATGATGAGCTCCCCAGCGGCATCACCGCTTGCTATGAATCGCCCATCTGGTGATATAGCCAATGACCACACCCCATATTCATCGCGATGTCCCTCCATCTTCTTCAACATTACACCTGTATTCAAATCCCAGAGACGAAGCGTCTTGTCTTCCGAGGCGGTGGCGATACGTTGTCCATCGGGGAAAACTGCGACTCCAGTTACACGTTGTCCATCGGGGGAAACTGCGACTGCAGTTACACGTTTTCCATGATCTTCAAACACTCGAACGGGTGCGGTGCCTGAAATGAGCTGCCCCATTTTACTGGAGGTGGATGTGTTGAGCTAAGGGTGGGTGTCTTGCTCTAAGCTGCAGCGGTTCGTGGGGCCGTGTTTACATTCATTAGACGCCCACCACCAAATTACGTCGCTGCAGCTTTCCAGATCACTCAACGAGCTCTCCTAATGACATAACCAGCTATCGTTGCAGGTGTTGAGCAACGCAGGCAGGCACAATCTTTTGCGCCCGGGCGCGTTGTGCTAGTTCAAATCCGGCCTGGTGTCTTTGAGAAGTTCATATTCTCATCCATGGTAATGTTGAAGTTATCAACGCCCAATCACGCGAGAAGTTGGCCTGCAAAACACACAAGTTACAATACATCTGTATGTTGGCTCGGTTGCTGATGGTAGATCTGTGCGCGACAAAGATGAGCGCAGATGAACGGAACGCGCTTAGTCTCATGAATACATCATAAGTGGTAAATAGCTCAGTAGTTTCCGGAATAAGTGCAATAAAGAAAAAAATATGATTCGCAACGTGGCAGCTCACCTCATGGCACTGACCATGGACCAAACATCACGCATGATCAGACGCCTAATCCTTGCCTGATCCATACCCCACCACCTTACAGTCCGACATGCACCAATCTCAGGGTGCAGGAGGACCGCGCCGAGCCAATACTGCAGTTGCCTCTGGCGCCGATCGAGTAAAGCTGGTCGTGCGAGAAGGGTGACTTTTTGGAGGGAGGGATGAAATGGCGTTGATGCTTCTGCCGGTGTGAGTTAATACTAAGTCGCTATCCAAGTAAAACGAGGGCTAGACGCACAGGTAATGAATGTTTCAGGGCATCGTACAGCTGCACAACATCGTTATACCGTTCATGTGCATGGATGGTAGTACCCTATCAACCCGGCTCATCAATTAGTCTCGTATTTGAGCTACAACACAGAAGGCATGCGAACTTCGTTTGGCCGAATCACAGAATGAAGCACCGCATATGCCCCACGTAGCGTATCATCTCATCCTACGCTCGCCCAATCCACGATATGCACCTTGCAGGTTAAAATTTAACGTGTTGTTTGCTGATTACAGTGGAGGACTTCCTAAGTGGTGTAACTTACATGATGTGCGCGTCCAGCTGCATCGAAGACACTGTATGCGTTTCAGGAAGAGAGCCACGTTCCGGCAAAGGAACAGTCTGGAACTTCTTCTCCAGTAAACGTGACACTGCTGCCATGCAATTGGCCTGTGAGCCCGCTAGGGATGCGATATGTGAAATGCGACTTGGTGCAACAGATGACGCATTTCGGTGTGAATGTCTATTGGGAGAGGTAGTGTTTGTTGAGCATCTCGATGATGACTCAGAGCTTCATGGCTTTGGTCGTTGTCAACTTGCGAGTGACGATCTCCAAAGGTTAGAAGTCCAACGTACAGTCAAGGATGGGTCAATGACACAGGACGGCTCTATGAATCATTTTCTGCATCACACCACAACTACATACTTTTACACATTCAACACACCTCAGTTCCCTGCTAAATACATGTCTCTTGGACTCTCAAAAAACACGACTGAAATTGATTGAGAAGTGATGACGAAATTGTGTGATTACCATTTGTGACAAACCTAAATTTGACCCAATTGAAATTTCTGCTTTGCCATGTACAACTCTGTGGAGCCCAAAGCCTTCAAAATCAAACGGAATACATTGAAGAACATCTCAGGTATCCAGCCCATTTGAATTCATAGAAATAGGTGCATTTTGTGGTGAGTAATTATATCACGGGCCTTCGGGGACGTTCTAATGAACAAGTATAATCTCAGTCTCTTTGAAAAGGCTCGTGCAACGAGCTAAGTACCTAATGAACAAGTATACTAACGACTTGTTAGCTGCATTCTAATTGATACGTGAAGAGTATGTACTCACATCTCAGTCTCTTTGAAAAGGCTGAGATGCGCTCGTGCTACCAGTGGCATTCTTATAGTAAGCTATATAGAAATGAAAAATATATCAAATGAATAAGTGAAATATTGGGGGACTCGAGCTGACATCAACGCGTTGCTCGACAATGTCCATTTTGGCTTGGGCTCGGACCACCTGTCACTCTCCCTCCTCAACCATCTCGGATCGGTCGGTCTTCTTCGTCTCTGATTGTTCTGATCATTTGGACTCCAACACTCCCCCTCGAGTGCAAGCCAGGGACATTTGTCCACGTAACTTTTGCAGGTGCGGGCGAGGCAGGGCCTTGGTGAATGCGTCGGTGACGTTATGGTTGGTCGGGTAGTAGAAGAGTCGGAAAGTCTCGTTCTTAATGTGGGAACGGATGAAGTGATACCATAAGTCGATGTGCTTGGTTCGGGATTGGAATTTCCCATTTGACGCAAGCGCTATTGCTGCTTGATTGTCGCAAAAGATGGGGGTAGGGAGTGGGGTTGGTTCATAAAGCTCTCCAATGAGGTACTGAAGGTAAAGTACTTCTCTCGCAATGCTAGTCAGGGCGATGTACTCAGCCTCTGCAGTGGACAGTGCAATGAGCGGCTGCTTCTGCACACTCCATGCAACGGGGCCGCCGTTCAACATAACAATATATCCAGACATTGAGTGTCTGTGGGGTTGCGATGCCCAGTTGGCATTGACGAACGCCTCAATACCTCTGTCTGTTGATCCAAGGGTAAGTTCGAAATCCGCGGTACCCTTCAGGTAACGCAACGCGCGCTTGGTGGCTTCCCAGTGAGTCCTACCAGGGTTGCGCATAAACTGCGACAGGGTAGCAATGGCAAATGCCATGTCAGGTCGCGTGCTGGTGGCTGTGTACATGAGGGATCCGATTGCTCGTTGATACGGTATGTTGCACATCGCGTCTAGCTGCGCTGCTGTACCAGGGGGACTGATCAATAGATAGGATCGCACCTGGCTCCATTGGTGTTAATGCGTTCTTTGCATCCCCTAGGTAAAACCACTTGACTATCGTGTCGACGTAGGCTCTCTGGGATAGAGTCAAGGTACGTGCTTCACGGTCTCTCGTTACCTTGAGTCCTAACAACCAGTTAAGCTCCCCTAGATCCGATATCTCGAAAAATTCAAGCAGCTGCGCTTTAAAGTGTTTGATGTGGGAGATATGGTTGGTGGTGATGGCCATATCATCGACTGATACAGTGATGACGACATGTTCTTGCTTGCCGCATTTGAAGTAGACCGCCTGGTCGACCTTCGATCACGTGAAGCCCAGCTTCGCGAAAACGCCTGCTAACTCCTCTGCCCACTCAAAGCCCGCTTGCTTCAGCCCAGGTAAGCTTCTCAGCAACCTTAACACCTTTCCTTGCTGCCCATCCTTCAGATAACCCGGTGGCGCCCTCATATATATCTCCTCCTGGATACTGGCATAGAGGTACGCACTTTTGATGTTGACTTGATGTATCTCCCAGTCTCTCTGCGCGGCCATCGTCAGAACCGTTCGAATGGTGCTCATGTTGGCGGTGGGCGCGAACGTGTCGAAGTAATCAACTCCGTACTGTTGCCTCTGACCGTTTGCGATGAGACAGGCCCAGAGTTTGAGTTTTTCACCATCAGGACCGCATTTGGTGGCCAAGACGAAGTGACAGGGTATCAGGTTTGCGCCGCGAGGTGCGTCTACTATCTCCCACGTCCCTAGCTTCTCGAGCTGACTGATTTCGTAGTCTACAGCTTCCTGCCACTCAACTCTGTCAGGGCCATTCAGGGCTTGCTGCAAGGTTGGTTCTGGCTCGGCAGCTGCTAAGGCAAGGTGGATATGGGACTCCTCATCCAGTAAGTCCAACTCTGACGCTTCTAGTAAGGATTCGATTGTGACTGACGCTGTCTCTCCTTCCTGCAGTCTTGCATAGTACCCAGGAAGAGGTCTGTTTCGCGTGACGCGTGGCGCTGGCGGGGTGATTTGCTTGGCGGTTGGTCTGGGTGGTGTAGAGGGTGCCTGAGGGATGGTCTGGACGCCTTCTGCATTGCCGGGGTTGTTGGGTGGGTCATTTGCGGTGGTGGAACCACTTGGCTCCCCCTCGTCCATGACATCCCCAGGTACCATTACCTCCATGGGTGCGAAAGTGATGTTGTGCTCCATGGAAACGTGATATTTCGTCAGCCAGTAAACCCTATACCCCTTGCTTTCTATGTCCACTCTGACGAAGAGAGCCTCCTCTGCCTGTGCCTCCAACTTACCCACCTCCAGGAGATGGACATAGACCCTCGTCCCGAATTCGTGCACTTGGGCCAGGCTTGGCTTGATATTATGAATGAGTTCGTGAGGCATAGTGGCGGGGGTCGCACGGGAGGGAAATCTGTTCTTCAACCAGGTCGTGTAGCTTACTGCTTCGGCCCACAGGAACTTTGGTAAGTCCTTTGTGATGAGCATTGCGCGTGCGTGCTCTACTAATGTTCAATTAAGGCGCTCCACCACTCCGTTCTGCTGGGGTGAGTCGTGTACCGTGAGTTGATGCTCGATACCTTGCTGACGCAGGTAGTCACCAAAATCGGCGCTCAGATATTCTCCCCCTCGGTCCGAACGGACTTTCGCTAAGCGAACGCCAGGTGTTTGACGCGCTAGCCAGACCTCATAGGCCTTGAACGCGGTGAGTGCCTCGCTTTTGAGCTTCAGAAATTGAAGTTTCGTCTGACGACTATAGTCATCAGTAAAGCTTATATAGTATAGGCACCCCCCTAAACTCGTGGTCTGCGCTGGTCCCCAGAGGTCCGTATGCACTAACTCCCCATAGGTAAGTGCGCGGCTCATAGCTTCGTCTGGGAAGGGCTTTTGAGCTGACTTCGCTTTAACGCAGGCATCACAGAACTCTGGCTTCGACGTGGTGTCGATATTGACGCCCGTTATCAAACCCTTCTTTACTGCGTCTATGACAGCGGTTTGGGACACGTGTCCGAGGATGTGATGCGCCTCATTAACAGTGAGCTTCGTGGTTGTGACATTAGTGTGGTGTCTCTGACGACTCCCTACCACACTATATAGGCCCTCTACTTGAGGAATTTCTGCGATGACGTGCCGTGGGGCCCCTTTGACAATATCTTGCACATGTGGCCTTCAAAAAGGACAGCTAGGCCTCCTGCCGTGATGTGATTGGTGGAAATGAGGGTAAAGGCCATGGTAGGGGTGTATAGTGCGTTCTTCAGCATTACCGTCGTGCGCTTCTCACCAAGGGGTAAGTCGATCTGAACATCTCCTCGTCTGATTGCGCTGAGAGTAGAACCGTCCACAGTATGGACATCTTGGGGAGGAATGGTAACAAAGTTGGCGAATTTTGAGCGATCGGGGCAAAAATGAGATGTTGCCCCTGAGTCAATGATCGCGCCTCTCTTCTCAACGGGTAAGCCCAGGTCTCTCACTACACTCGCTAAGTCTGACGTGACGAAAGCGTACTGATCTTGGGACTCAGCTTCTGCTGCGGAGTTTGCCGCTTGCTTCTGAGGCTTTTCCCCTCTCTTCCTCTGCTGGTTCAGGCCTTGCCCTTCCTTGCCCCCTCCAGGTCTCCAACAGTCCATCTTGTAATGGCCCTTTTGGTCGCAGTTAAAGCAGATAACATCGGTGTTGGTCTTGTTGGTGGAGGATGGTGAGGTGCGGCCTTTGCCTTTTGCCTCCTTCGTGGCGAGAGCTGCGCTAGCTCCCTTCTTGCTGGGGCGTCTTTCAGTAAGCTGTCTGTGATCATACTCTTCAGTTATGATGGTGACAAGCTCATTGGGTGTGACAGGAGTTTTCGTGATCTTTGACGCTGCTGTGATGGACGACAGGAGTGGTCTATAAGACTCGGGGAGGGAACCCAGGATGACCGCGTGAAAATCTGGGTTGGCGATCGCGACACCCATGCCTGCAAGCAATTTGTGGAGCCTCATGAGCTCTCCGAAGTGAGATCTGACGTCTCCTGCCTCATCGCACTTCATCTCTTGCATCCGACAACGTAAGTCTATCTGGACGAGCTCTGTCTTCCCTTCATGGATCTGACATATCTCTTCCCAGATCTTCGACGCGTCGTTCAGCTTCTGGACTCACAGTAACAGCCGATCGGTTATCGTGCTGAATATCTGCTGTTTTACCAGTGAGTTTTTCTGGTGGTATTTGTCAGTACATTTATCAAGTTCATCGTAATCCACCTGCGTAGGCATTATCCCGTCCGGCTTCATGATAACCTTCATCTTCTGGTCAAGCACGAAGGGTTTCGGCTCACTTGCTCGACCGTCAGTATACTGCATCAGACCTCTAGCACCAATGGCTGTTAATGTCCACTCCTTATAGGTTATCCAGTTTGAGCCATCTTTGGCAAGCTTCGGGACATTAAGCGGGGTGGTGTTGGAGCTGGGGAGTGATGTATCCATGATTGAGACAGGGCTCATAACCTGTGGTGAGTAATTATATCGCAGGCCTTCAGGGACGTTCTAATGAACAAGTATAATCTCAGTCTCTTTGAAAAGGCTCGTGCAACGAGCTAAGTACCTAATGAACAAGTATACTAACGACTTGTTAGCTGCATTCTAATTGATATGTGAAGAGTATGTACTCACATCTCAGTCTCTTTGAAAAGGCTGAGATGCGCTCGTGCTACCAGTGGCATTCTTATAGTAAGCTATATAGAAATGAAAAATATATCAAATGAATAAGTGAAATATTGGGGGACTCGAGCTGACATCAACGCGTTGCTCGACAATGTCCATTTTGGCTTGGGCTCGGACCACCTGTCACTCTCCCTCCTCAACCATCTTGGATCGGTCGGTCTTCTTCGTCTCTGATCGTTCAGATCGTTCGGACTCCAACACATTTCTGCCAGAGTTGCAAGCAAATCATGAGAAGTATGTGATCCGAGTTGGAATCTATACTAGGCCAGGGTCCACAGTCCAGTAAATTACTACTGAATTCCGCTCCGTCTTGGCTCAAACATGTTGAAACCTTCACCTCACACCTTGAACTTGCAACAATGCCTGGACGACCCAAATCTGTAACATGAAAGAGGCAAGAAGCCCGTGAGGCTTGTGACTACCTCATGTCGCGCACTGTTGAAGCATACCATGCTGAGCTCACAAAAGCTCCAGGAATTCGACACCATGGGGCAAGGACAATCTGCCATGATTTCGAAAAGATGAACTTTGAAGCAACAGGAAAGTTAATCAAGCTATCCTATTCAACTCTGATCCGTCTTGCAGCTGGTGGAAAGACATTGAGCGAGACAAATGCAGCCAATGCATGGATTACTGAGGAGGAGACGAAACAAGTCATTGCTTATGTTCAAGAAGTTGGTGACCATGGTTTTCCACTCAGCCATAAGCAACTTCGCGAACATGTTAATGAAATATGTCACGCACGACTGGGAGATGCATTTCCAGGAGTCGGTGTTAAATGGACCAATCGCTTTGTTGAGAAGCATGCTGACAGTCTCAAGACATCATGGTCTCGCTCACTTGACTCAAAACACAGACAAGCTGTCAACCCGCATACCAATAAAGCTTGGTTTGATCTCCTAGAAGATGTCTTTGAGAAGTATGACATCGACGAAGACTGTATTTATGCAGCTGACAAAATTGGCATTTTACTGGATTCTGGCGAGCACGAACGTGTTATTGGAGGGAGACGGCCTGGGCCTCAGTATCAGCAACGTACAGGGAATCGAGAAAACATTACCATCATCGTTACGATCTGTGCTGATGGCACTGCTTAGCCCCCTGCTGTCATTCTAAAGGGCAATGCCTACCAAGTAAAATGGAAACAAGAAAATCCTGCAAATGCTTTGTGAGTTCATTTTCAATCATTTGTTATTAATGCTAAAATCACGTACATTATGATAGGCTTGGATACTCGAAAAAGGGGTGGACAGATGGAGAGATTGGGGTTGAATGGATCAAAGAGTTCGACAAGCAGATGAAGGCCAAGGCAGACGGACGTGACCGTCTCCTTATTGTGGATGGCCACAACTCACATTATACACGGGGATTCCTGCAATATGCCCATAAAAATCATATTCATATCCTGTGATATCTGGCTCACATGACCCATGTATACCAAGGCTTGGATGTCATTGTTTTCGCAGTCCTAAAACGGAGCTGGAGTGAGGAGCAGGACAAATGGGAGAGAGAGAAAGGGGAAGGCATCACAAAGGCCAACTTTATCACCATTTATGGCCATGCTCATCTCTGCACACTCACACTGGACCTTATTCGCACAGCTTTCTGCAAGACTGGCGTCTGGCCATTCGATCGTGATGTCATCCCTAGCAACATGCTGGCTCCAAGTAAAGAAACCTCAACTAAATCATATCTTCCAATCGCACCATCCATGCCCATGAGAATTCTTGCCAATGCCCTTCAAAAGATGTCAACACAGCTTAGTGACAACAGAGATGAAGAACATTCAGTAAACTCATCATTGAGTACTCAGGAGGATCTTGAGACCATCATCAAACAACTCGCTGAAACATCATTGTCAAAACTCATCTCGTCGACACCAATGAACTCGCAAACTGACCTGCGGCATGCCACGGCCCACACTATCTCCCCCATCAAGAAATCACATACATCCATCACAAACATTCATCCAACAACCACGAACGAAGTCTTGCTACTTGCAGCTCTCCACGAGGCAGAGGCAGCCAATGCTGCACTGAAAAAACACATTATCGCACTCTGGGCATCCAATATATTGAATGAGATGTACTGTGCTAAAATTCGCAGTCAGCTTGCTCATCAGGAGTTAAAAAAGCAGGCAGGAAATAATGGTGGAAAGATTCTCAGGGATGGCTTACCACACTTGTTGTCAGGCGACATGTTCTATGAAAGAGTTGTTCAGTTTGAGGAGGCTCAAACAAGAGGTGCAGCTGAGAAGAGGACGAGGACCGAAGAGTGGAAGAGACACACTGAAGCATTGGCAGATTGGAAAAAGCTTGAGGATGCGAGGAAGGCAGAGAATAAGGCATGGCGAGAACACTATCATGAAGTGTTAAAGATATGGGAGTCAGAGAAGGCTCGCACAAAAGAAGAGAAGCGGAAACTCACAGAGAAGAAGCCCACTTTGGGCAAGCTCATTGCAGCCATACCACGGCCAAAGGTAATTGTATCTGAGGAGTGTGAAAGTGATGGCGAGTATTTTGATCTGGATGATATAGGCTCATGCGCCAGTGACGAATATTAATGTAGTTACATATCTATGTTTCGAATCAGAAACGTAGTGATTGATAAGCTTTTCTTACCTAATTGAGGCTGATTCATTGAGCCATACTCAGCAAATTAGGCACCCCCTCACTGTTGCTGATGCCGTGCTCGAACAGCTCACTTTTTTTTCTTCAAAATGTATGAAGACCTCAAGCAGAGGTCTATGTATGGGGCAAAAATATTTTGAAAAAAATCCACGCAGTTGTTGTGGCTCGGGAGGTTAGTTTTCATTTTCATGGTTCAATGAGGCATCCATAACTGTACATGAGAACTTGGCTGCATTTCACCCTTATCAAGCCTTACTTATGCTCAAACTGAAACACAATCCATCATCCCAATAGTGATTGTGGTTAATGTAGTAGAGGGTCAAAAGCCACTTCCTGGTTCAGCGAAATCACAAGTTCATCATAAATGAGGAGACTTACCATGATACATTAAGACAAGGCCATTAAGCCACATTAGATCTGCCATGATCCCAAGAAGGAACGACCATCTTCATTGTATTTCCTACAGAAGACTAATGATCTCCATAGCAGCCTTAAGCAGTTTCTTCCTACATCTCACCCTCTCCGATAGAGAAGGACAAACATAACTAGCCATGATGACCCATTGATCTTGCCAGAACTCGTCAGACCAAGCACAATTTGAGGTTTCGCGACCCCGTCGATGCGTTGCAAGATTGTGTCCATGGATTCGAAAATGGTGTTGACATCCAGCTCCCCATCATTCACATACATGTGCAAGTTATGATCTAGGTAGGTGACCTTCAGGCAGGACACTTTCTTCCTGCATGGTTATTACTGTTGTACACCGCTATGATTATGACATCCATACTCTCAAAACACTCACAAGAAAGCGAATTGAAGCCATTCCGACCAATCAGGCTGTCATTGCAGGAATCTGTGTGGCAATACATAAGACATGCATGTCTCATCTGAATGGTCATGCCCTGTTCCCTTGAACTTCAATTAGGCTGCCCCGATGACATGTCAAGCTTTTGTCGCCTGGAACGGTTTTAGTGGAGGTCTGACGTTTGCAGGGCTTGCTTTGAGGTATTTACAGCTGTCACTGGTATGATTTGCAATTTACATTGACAATAGTCACACACCAGCGGTTTGGGAGTTTTTCACTATGCAAGATTTGTTTCAAAATGTCATTGATGAATTTAGCATTTTCACTATACATTTCGACATGATAAAAATAAGAAATTTAGATGAGTGGAAAAATCCTGGGCAAAATTGTACATTTTATGCACCATTTTGACACTGTAAAAGAAAGTCATTTAACCAACAACAAGATTTGAAGAAAAATGTTCGATCATTCTGATTCAAATCCTGCATGGGGTGAAATGTGAGGAAAATTTGAAGTAAGTCGAAACACATTACATTTTACCTGTTTGGAAGGGATTTTACCCCATGCAATTGGATTTAAATCAAAATGATCGAACATTTTTCTTCAAATCTTGCTGTTGGTTAAATGACTTTCTTTTACAGTGTCAAAATGGTGCATAAAATGCCTAATTTTGCCCAGGATTTTGCCACTTGTCTAAATTTCTTATTTTTATTGGGTCTCGCACGATTTATGGAGGCGCACGCACACCAGTATAGCCAAAAAACGGTCCCTCAATACGCGAGGCGACGGGAAAGGTTAGAAAGAGGGCAAACTCAATCTAACATGGAGTCGCCTGCTAAGTAAGCATAGCTCCACCATAGGAGGGACGGAGCCTGAAAAAGGATTGGCCCAATCCTTGTAGACAACGTGAAAGGCGCATTGACCATGGTGAACACGATCAAATGCCGAACACGCCCACTGAGAGTGGAAGGTATTTGAGTCAAACTCAAACAAGAACATGTCGCTCGCGATGACGCTAGTTATCACGCGACCCATTAGCTTAGTGTAAATAAAATTAAACCCAACTAATGGGCCTTGCACGATTTATGGAGGCGCACGCACACTGGTATAGCCAAAAAACAGTCCCTCAATACGCGAGGGACCAGCTGTAGATTATTGACTAGTAGTATGATGCGGCAAAAGGTAGCAAAAGGTAGTAGAGCCCCTAGTAGAGCCCCATAAAATAAAAACTGAAGGATGAATGCTATATGACTATTAAAAAGGGAGGGATAGGGAGGGTGAATTGAAAAAGAAAAGAAATAAATAAATAATAATACATAGATCACGCACATAAACTACGCAGAACCAAACGGCGGGTCGTGAACTGGACGACCATGAAACAACAACGCTTGTAGAAGTGTTGCATTTTTGCGTACATAACGCTCCCAGATGTCAGACTGCCATCGCCCGATAGCACGAATGCGATCAGGAGACACACCCACTGCTGCAAGAGACGTAGCACCTCCCGCCCGCATCGAGTGACCAGACACAGTCACTGGAAAGAACGTGCGCATTTTGCGGATAAACCATGACCGTGTGGGCGGCTGCCCATTACACCGTAACCAGAGGTAAGGGTGCAACGGAAAATGAAAATCACGTGAAGCAAGGTATCGCGTAAAGAGAGGGAAAGGATCTGACCCAACGTATAAACGCTGAATGACCACCCAATTTCCTTCATACCGCGAGTCCGTCTTGTCACGTTGAATAAGGAAGGAGAAGTCGTTATCGGAGACGCAGACCGAAGGTCGCAGAGAAATCTTTGCATGATCCCGCGAAGAAGTGTCATCCGGCACTACCAACTCTCCCAGGCGAAGCAGACCATAAAACCCACAGTGAAGCTGAGCTACCCACAGCAAATTGTCATGAGTCAAAGGGTGTGACAACTCAACGAGAACTCGCTGTAGATCATCCCGCAGAATTGGCTCTTTCCAGAGAATAGGACGACCGAGGGTACATAACACACCCTGCAACGTACGTTTGACGAGATGTGAATGGTGGGATTGACAGACATGAGGGAAATGTGGTTCCAGGTTACTGATGATGCCGGATAGATAGGTTTCGACTGAACGAGGCTGAATATGATGTGACATATAGGTGACGAAGTAAGACAATGTGTCAGGTGTGGGATCAATCGGCAGACTGTGTTGTTTACAGAAAGTGAGATATGAGTTCAAATGAGACGAATAGGCACAGGAAGTAGTATTGTCGAGAGCTAGTCCCAACAGAATCGAACGCTCATGGATGAGACATTCAATTGACCAGACATCCCGATGAGGTTGTCTGGCCTTCACCGAAACTGGAATCATTTTTGCGCTACCCCCAGCGCATTCCAAGGGGGTGTAAAAGGATGTATGGACAGACCCAGCGAAACCAGTTTAGCTTCACAATTCCTCCACCAAGATAAGTGATCCACTACCACATTGTCAACACCAGGCACAAAGAAAACCCGGAAGTCAACACTAGCATCAAGAATAGCATCCACCGCAACCATGAGTAACCAGTTATAGGGAGGGAGAGCTGCCAGAGAGTTGAACATGGACACAGTGTTCAGATTGTCAGTGAAGACTGCAATCCGCTGACCTGGACGACAATGTATTATTCTATCAACAATCGCCGCAGTTACTGCAAGAGCTTTGAAGAAGAAAATGGTTCCAGTAGGTGCCGAACTAGGTAGAACAGCCTGATACCCGATATTGAGGTCAGGAAACCAATACGCAAGCCCATCACCCGACACATCAGTATACACTTTGAGTACATCCTCCTGAAGGCACGAAAAATTCCAGGAGATGGACTTGAAGAAGAACACTCCTTCAGCAGAGCGTAGGTGACCGATAACCCAGTAGAGCTCTCTAACCACGTCTCTGTTAACCCAAATCAGGGCTCTTGATGCAAGTTTTCCAGCCGTCTTAGCATAGAGGGCTGAAAGACCAGGCCGAAGAAGAGGATAGACGTTGAGCGCCCAGTTGAGCCATCCAGCTAACCGCTGAAAGTCTCGTAATGACCTGCGAGAACCCTTTTGCGCGAAATCCTCTAGCTCTTGAATAAGCTGTGAGCGTGAGGTATCGGACATACGTGCCCGCATTAAATTTGGGTCGACATCGAATCCAATAATGGGTAGCTCCAGTCCAAAGATCTGCTTCCTCTCCTCATGCGGCACACCTATGGCATCCCATAAGTGAAGTAGCTTGACCATGTTGCATGGTAGAAGCTTTTTGTAAGGCGCGTAAAACTCCAGACTGCGTTTGTCCTCGAATGAGAAAGAGTCGTTGACGTAGATGTAAAGGAAATGGATGAGAATTTTAAAGATCATGATCCAAATGACAAGGGACATGAAGGCATGGTAGATTCTTTGAGAGGCTCTTCCTCCAAAGACGTTTCTTCTGTCAACATACCGATGACCTTGAAAACTAATGATTTGCTTGATCTGCCATAACGGATGCATAGGCATATGCTGATAAGCTTCAGATACATCCGCCTTCCAAAGATTTAGCATAGCGTGAGGACATGAATGCCAGAAGGTACGGAGCCCATTAGCCAAGTCATGGACATTGTCAAGAGTTACGCCAGCAATGTTGTCATGCAATATCATTGAGTTAAGCGCGTACTTCCCAGCACTATGATCGGTAACCAGCCGATGCTTATTCGTTCCTGGCTTTGGTACAGCATGGATGGGCATACTATACATACCAGGAAGCAGATCTGGACCGAATGCTTGAGAGTAGCGACCGACCTCAACCTCTTTCTCAATCTGAGTGCGTAAAAACTCCTTTTCAGCTTCAGTCTTGGGAGGTCAATCTGAGTTATCAAAAATAAGAGGCCATTCTTCAGAATGAGTGTTGGCAAAGGGCCAAAAACCCTCGCGTAGACCAGTACAGACAGAGCGGACAAAATCAGGGTTCGGATGATCAGCTAACAGCGATTCAAAAACATCGATTTTGATAAGCATAGAGATTTTGAATAAGGAAGGATTAGATTGAATGGTATTCATTGTGCTCTGATTCAAAAATTCGCATGCCGGAGGACGAGGCAGTGGAGCTGCGGTCTCTGTCCAGAGAGCAGTCCAGCTGTAAGCCGACATTCCTGGTCCCCAGACTCCTTTTCATCGAAAACACTGACCATGAGCGATACCCTCATTTAGGGGTTCCTTTATTTGGACACTCCGACTTTCGGTGAGCACCCCTACATCCCCTCCAGTCACAGCGATGGGAAAATTGGCACTCGCTATCCGATTTTTGGCAGGTTCCTCTATTCCATTTATGACAGGGATCATCCCTTCCGCTATTTCCGTCTCTCCGATTTGTTCTTCCCCAGGAACCAGATGAGGATGAGGCGGAATTGGAACCAACACCAAAAGAGGTGAGGAAGGTGGTTCGGAGATGTTTGAATTGGGAATAATCAGTGAGGCGTAGGTTTCTTTGCATGGCCACTTGATTTCGGATGGATTGATCGAATTCGATGACATGGGAATGCAACCGAACATCCATGGCATGAAAGAGTCTGCTGAGGTAGGTGTGATATTGGGTGAATTCATCTCATTGTTGCGGGAAGACAAAGGCAATGGCTTCGATATACATGGAGAACGCGATGTTGTGGTCAGATGATGTCTTGATTCCACCTGAGGACTTTGAGACCCGAAGGGCGAGCTCAATCTCGTCATCAATGACGTGCATTTGCTTCGGGTCGAGCTCAGTGGTATGGGCAGAGTCAAGGACTTTGCCAAGGTCGACATATTTCCATCGCACGACATTAAGCCATTCACTGGGTGGAAATGGGGGACACCCTGGTGTGGACAGGATGTCGGTAACAACGCTCTTTGGATTGGCAGCAAAATTTTCAAGTTGTTTGTAGGTTTCTCTGATATCCGAAGGAAGAGAGGCAAGTGCCTCTGATCACCTTTGCGACCAGGAGAACTTACTGACGTCAACGACTTTAGCTCGCTGCCTGGATGAGGGTGACTCATCCTCTTCAGATTCTGAGTCAACCCTTGACCGCTTGCTTCCAACTTTGGCCTCTTCATTACTGGGTAGCCCCCTATTCTCTCGCTCAACTTCCTCTTCTTGCATTCCTTCCCCAAATTGATGCTCTCCTCGATTTGCGGCAACTCGCTTTGAGAAGTCAATCTCGTTGAGCATTCCGATATAGATATTGAGGGCATCATCGAGGTTTTGTCCACTCTGGACAGCCGGTGAATCTTCAAGGACTTCTTGGATGGTGAGCACTGTATTTGCTTTCCCGTTTTGACCGAGTCGATATTGGTTAATAAATTCATTGCATTGTTCGACGCAGGAGAGGTCAGTCGTTCGCTCAGAGTTGGTCTGGGGAGGTCCAGATGAAGCAACAGTTTCGGAGTTTTCTCCATTGTCAGACATGAAGAACTTGTTCTGATGATAACAAAGTTATAATAATTGATCAAAAAACTAGCTAGCGAGGCGACGGGAAAGGTTAGAAAGAGCTTTCCGGTAAATATATAGTTGAGCTCACCAAGCAAGGTGACGGGAAAGGTTAGAAAGAGGGCAAACTCAATCTAACACGGAGTCGCCTGCTAAGTAAGCATAGCTCCACCATAGGAGGGACAGAGCCTGAAAAAGGATTGGCCCAATCCTTGTAGACAACGTGAAAGGTGCATTGACCATGGTAAACACGATCAAATGCCGAACACGCCCACTGAGAGTGGAAGGTATTTGAGTCAAACTCAAACAAGAACACATCGCTCGCGATGACGCTAGTTATTACGCAACCCATTAGCTTAGTGTAAATAAAATTAACCCAATTATCATGTCAAAATGTATAGTGAAAATGCCTAATTGATCAATGACATTTTGGAACAAATTTTGCATAGCGAAAAACTCCCAAACCGCCGGTGTGTCAGTGTCATCAATCGGCGTTTATGCGAAGTCAGTCACGGGTTAACTCCAATTCATTTTGAATCGGTCATATATCCTGCAGGACTAGTACTGTATGAATCATATCCTGTTTCTCATGCCAAGTTGCTACTCCAGCACACGATATCCATCATACGTCGTTCCTCCAGTCACCTTTTCTCACAAAACCGGGATGCATCAGCTCGCTGTACTATCACCCCAGTCATCCTATGGAGTTCAAAGGTCTGCATGTATCTCGCTGCTCGCGTTTCAAACTTCTGCAACTCAGAAGTTTTCGCCTTCCAAGGCATATTTTATCTGACACTGTGATGGGTTGTTCAGGGCATCACAGCCTTACTTTATTTGTAGCTCAAGTTAGTTCTCACCTTCGCCACTCTCAGGTGTGATGTCCTCAGTTTTGCATGGTGAACTGGCGGTAGATCGCGCTGGTCTTTCAGTGAGTTAGTGCCGTAGAGAAGTTCATGTTCTCATCTATGATAGTGTTGAGCTGACCAACGGTCTTGATATATGAGGCGAGAAGTTGGCCTGCAACAAGCCTGCAAAACACACAAGTTCAACTTAATATGCCATTTCTAATGTAAGTCAATCAGCATAGCGTATCATGCCAACTATGTGCTCTTGCAGGATCGGAAGAGATCGAGATCTATGTGAATTAACTATCATTGAAAATGTGCATGGAGGAAATTGTTCAGTTTACAGTGCAGTTTGCAGAAAGCGGGGTGGACGGAAGAAGCATGCGGGGGATGCAGTGGCTCTCGATCGAATATTCAGACGTCGAATTTCCGAGTCGATGAATCAATGGTGAAGTACAGTGGCGGGCATGCACCAAGCGAATATTCATAGTCAGCGGTGGGGAGGGACTGTATGTGTAAATAATGTAGAATATGAGTCTGTTTTCGTATAATGAGCCAGCATACCATATCGAGTACAAAGGCCTAAGGGAATATAAGGTAATGTCGAAGTACAAATGAGAACCGACGATCTCTGTTTCAATATATACGAGGAACCACCTGCAGTGAGGGCTGCATGTCCATTGATGGCATTTAGCGCCCTTCATGCTAAAGCTGAGCGAAAGGCTGTTGAGGACCATAGGATGGGTAACAGGACTGAAAAGACTCACTAGAGAACCAAGCCCATAAGCTAGCCTTGGTAGCTTCATCGCTTGCGTCCATCAACTTCCGGTACAGTTCCAGTGCTTCTCCAAGTCTACCCGCCCGATTGAGTGCATGACACTGCTGCTTGTGTGCGGTTTGCCACAATGACTCGAGGTCCCACCCGAAGAGCTGCAAAAAACGCACAGTTGAGCATGGAAACGATCGTCGGTTAGATGATGTCAACGTACCACGGTGAATTCTTCGAACATGGAATGAATCGGCGAGCTGGAAAAGAAATTGCTCGCATTGACAGCAGTTGTGAAGTGGTCAACAGCTTCCTGGTGACGCCTGTTACGCAATGCAATGATTCCCAGTTGGACACGTAGATATGCCTGATGTGCAAAGCGCAAAAATTCAGCGTCAGCGTCAGCACGCGAACCTAGACTTAATACTCACTTCCACGACACGACGAGTAAGAGGATCCGTATCGGGGAAATCGGTGGCTAGCTCTTCGATGCGCAACATTGCCTCTTCATGTTTATTTGCGTTGAACAGCACGATAGCCTGTAAACCCATAATGAAGCGTGTCCCAGTATGTAATAAAAATGGAAGCTTGCCTTGATTAAGAACAGGAAATATATCGTCTTCGAATCTCCATTCGCAGATACGAATGCGAGGTCAAAAGCTTTCATGGCGTCCTGTATATGTCTTTTCCCGCAAAGGGCAATGCCCTTGGATATATAGCCCGCCAAAGAGGGCCTTATGCAGATGGACTATATGAAGATCAACGTTAGCCTACATTAAGTGGGTCGGAGTATCTCACCTCAATTGCATCTTGAAGCGCATGGTCCCATCCGATTTTGCGCGCCATAATCAACGAGCGGTTGGCATAGGAGCTGTAGTTATTGGCGTCTGTATTGATCTCTTGCGTGAGTAGCTCTTCAGCAGTAGCCAAGTCCCCCATGATGCACGCATTGCGAGTGGGCGGCTTCATAGCAAAGATCTACACAACAAATGGTTGGATTGCATTACTGTACAAGTCAAAGGTAAAATTTGTCACGTGCCTTAGGAGCAGAGTCTTCCGCCTCGGGCAAAGCGTCCTTGGGTACTGCCCACTGTGATATCCTGCCACCATATCCCCCGCTGAGAATGTATTTCCCATCCATAGAGAATGCTGTGCAACGAGCAGAGTGCTTGAAGACGGTGATGGTTTGTCGATCAGAGAGCCGCCAGAGGCAGACACTGTCTCCAGTTGCGGAAGCGACGAGCTTACCAGCTGGATGAATGGCAATGGCATTGGACCAAGTGCTCACAGCACCCATCCAGGGATCATCGATCTGGTTCCAAGTCGACACATCCCACTCCCGTATAGTGTGATCATTGCTATCTCCTCCTGAGAGAAGGCGAGTACCATCGGGCGTCCAGGCGAGTGAGAAGCTCGATGTGTAGCGTAACTGTCCAAGAAACATTATTGTTGTGTGACCCTTCAAGTGTGCGATGCATTGCCTGGTGGCTGTATTATAAATTTCGATGATATTGCTCTCTGTTGCAATCAGCAAGAAGTTCGCCGTCCGGCGAATAGCGAACACAGCTAACAGCTGCAACACAGTTGATTGGATCTCCTTGCTGCTGCCACGTAGTTGTGCTCCACAGCTTGACTGTTTTGTCCCATGAACCAGTGGCAAGCACTGTTCCATCTGGTGAAAAGTCTATCGAGACGATGACATCCCCATGGGCGCTGATGATTCCGGTGAGGGATTCCCCAGATTCTCCACGCCAGGCGATGAACTCTCCGTGTTCATCACTGCTTGCTATTAATCGCCCATCTCGTGATATGGCCAATGTCCATACCCCACAGATCCCATCGCAATGTCCCTCCATCTTCTTCAGCAGAACACCTGTATTGAAGTCCCAGAGACGAAGCGTATTGTATTCCGAGGCGGTGGCGATATGTTGTCCATCGGGGAAAACTGCGACTGCATTTGCGCATGTTCCATGGTCTTGAAACACTCGAATGGGTGCGGTGCCTGAAATGAGCTGCCCCATTTTACTGGAGGTGAATGTGTTGAGTACAATCGAGGTGGACTGGGTTGAGGTGGGTGTCTTGCTCTAAGCTGCAGCGGTTCGTGGGGCCGTGTTTACATTCATTAGACGCCCACCAGCAAATTACGTCGCTGCAGCTTTCCAGACACATCGGGGATTCGAATATTTAAGACTGGTTTGAATGTCATGCGAAATGTCAAGATAATACTTAATATTTAGGTTGTCGTCTTAGCGGATGTAAAATTTCAAATGTTAAAGAGGTCTTTCACGACAAGAGAAATATAAAGTATCAGCGAACATTTTCTTACTGTCTGAATGTCAATGACAATAAGAAATATAAATATATCTTTAATGCTGGCATAAACTTCGAAATGAAACTTCACATTTAAGACTTGAAAAAACTTCAATTTTAGCACGTGACTGAACATCTGCTCATGTATGAAGTTTAGACCGTCGCTTAGACGGGCGTTAAAATTCAAAGTACCCCCTGACAATAAAACGTGAAAATAAATCATCAAGTTTTATCTCTAGATAAAACCGATCGCCCGACAATCGCCCACTCACGGCTGAATCATCGCCCACTTACAACGTCATCGCCCACTTGAGTTTGAGATGCGAAATATATTAGGGGACCAGACGAGCTAGAACTTAGAAAAACGCATTAACACACTCTTATTCAACTGGTACAGACCAACGATAGCATGACGGGGTGGACAGCTTATATATTGTACATGTACACGAATGTAGTAGAGTGAAACCGAAAATCAACCCTGTTTGACAGTAGTCAGACACCGGTGATTTCTCGAGGTGAATGAATGTACTTACAAAATCATTTCAACTTGTATACAGGCTAGTGCTAGTGCCTAGTGCTAATTCTCTGTAAAAGCTGAGCAGGAGATTAGAGACGCACAAGTAACAACCAATTTATTCTTACCACTTGCTTTGGTGGCAAGAAAACTGCAAGACGCCGTGTCGACATTTTTCATCATTTTGTTGGTGCCCGCATTGAATTTGAGTGAGCCTTTCCACTTCAAGCCAGTCATTGGACCGTTCGCATCATCAGTGAATGTATGTCACTCGCGTGAAACACCCCGTCGAATGTTGTCCAGGTGTGACTGGAACCAAAATTCGCATCGACTGGACCAGAACCCCACGTTTAGTCCTGAGGCAGCCCAGGCCTGGGGCCTGGGCCACCAGGAGACGATTTCAACATTCCCGTCGTCTAGATTCAAACATAAGCGCCTCTGTCGATGTAAACAAGAGAAACTTACTGGTATGCAGATAATACGTCCCGCACATGAAATCTACCTCCTCTTCTGACAGCTCATCATCGAAATAAGTCTGGCCATTAATGTCCAGCATGAGGCCAAATGGTACCGCTTCCCGCGAAATGCCATCAAGAACGGAGGGGAGAACATCGAACCCAAGACTATGTAAAGCCAGCCGCCATATGAGGCCACCATGAAGAAGTGCCGCTCTTGCGCGAGGCTGGTTCATGAACTCGTGACGGTGCTGCTCGTACACGATGTAGTCAGCAAAAACAGGCCTAAAACGGGCGAGTCTGCGATCCTCGGGGGGGAAGACGTGTCCGAGCGAGTATGTACAGAGTTCCATAGGTGGGCGTCAAGCGTCAGGTGGAACTGAGATTGGCTGCAACGTCTTTATAGCAATTCCTTTTTCAAGGAGGTTATACGCGATCTTGGTGATATCCGAGCCCCAGTCACGCCGGAGGCACATCACAGCCGTGATAGCATCGGGAACCGCCAGTTTCCAGGGCACCAGATTTGACGACAGTGACTCGATGATGTAGAGCCGCTGCTTGGGTTGTTGCACATAGGAAACTCAAATGTGTGCATTCGAGACTGACAGGGACGAGTCAGGTCCTAGATCCCAGAGATCGGGCGGGATGTCTGACAACTGAGATTGAGGGAGCGTGACGAGGTAACCTATAAAACATGTGATGACATGCTTCTGTGCGTCTGGAATTGACGTGATATCCGTGGGGTTGTTGCCGACGAGTCTGGTTAAGTGAGTCCACTGTGTCTTGCGAGTCCAATCATCGAATGTAGTCGATCTGCCTCGGGGTGTAGTGGTGGATGCTGCAAGGCGATATCCGAGATGAAAGTGCAAAATGGAGACAAATCGCTCAACACTACGAGTGTACTGCGTTGAGGGTGCAACCTCATAATGACCGAAGTAGGCTTCGATGTCTTTCAAGAAACTGGACAAGGGTGGGGCAGGGGCAGGGGGAGCAGGGGTAGGTTCAGAAGGAGCAGACGCAGGCGGGAAATCATCTTCAACCCAATCGCCATCGGGAATGCTGGTAAGATCCAATGCATCGCACAAATCCCACTCATTACGGAACGAGTCGTATACCCTGGTAGACTTGCTATATGACATCCAAGTCATTGGTATCTCAGCCTTTGTGAGACGGATGCGTTGACGAAAGCCGCCAAACTTGTCATTAGGTTGCCATTCAAACACCACAACTGTGCTGGATTTGCCAGGAATGCCGTGGTTCATGGCTGCCCGCTCACGGCTCTGACGCGACTGCCGTTGAGCTGGCGTCTCCGTCTCCTCTTTCCTCTTGTTCTCCTGACAGCGCCGCGCAAAGAATGCCTTGAAGTCTTCTCCTCGCTTCTGTCTAGAGTGGGGTTGGGAGACCGGGAACAGAGAGTCCGCATGTGCCTTGGGAACATCAGACACGGGCTGTGCCCCACTGTTCTCACCCCATCCAAGGGCACTATCGTCCCAGTTAAGGACACTCTGAGTGTTGTCCTCTGGTCGACCCCACACACTATCGTCCGGTTGACCCCACGCACTTTCGTCCAGCTGACCCCAAGTGTCAGGCGTCTCCTTGCGTTGGACTTCCTCGGTCGCATGGGTGATAGCTGCCGGAGACGGGATATAATGACGCAAGGTAAAATCAACGGCGGCAGAAGTATCCCCAGAAACGCGGACCCAAATCGGAAGCAAGAATTTCTCAAACATGGGCAATTGAACTTGCCAAGGACAGTGAATGGAAGAGATCAAGGCTCCCGTACATGGCACGTTTGTCGTCAGATCTCCAACGAATGAGCGTGACAACTCAAGAACCCATTCAGCGGGTATGGGATGTTGGGGGTTACTCGTTAAGATAGCCGTCCACTGATTGGCACCTTGGTATCGACGTGTCATGATGTACCACGAGCAGGTGGCGGCAATTACTGGAAATCCATCAGGCAATCACGAACGATGAATAAACTGGTTGACTTACATAGAAATGCATCGCGCGACCTTATTGCAACCTTTTTAGCAAGGTTAGCGTCTGTATGCCACCGTTGGTACCCATAGGAAGTCGGAGGGCGTGGAAGTTTAGTCCCCCATGGAATCAATAATCCAGCACCCAAACGTTCCTGGCACCAGAGCAGTTTCTGCTCTAACTCGACCCATTTTGCCCGAATATCGCGGTGGAGAATGTGCCTTCCCGATGTATCTACCTCTGTAAGGAGGGAAAACCTGGAGTGGTTGAGGCATCCAAAGATTGGCCCATCGAAGCTAGGATTCAAAGGTACCAGGGGAAACCACGGACGAGTTCCGTACACCCAGTGAGTGGTGAGTGGTGTATTACTATCGTCAGGAGAACTATCGTAGTCTTCGCGAGGATCCCAAGGAGGCTCGTGAGGTATGACGTCGGGAAGGGAGTGTGCGGTGAGAGAGGTATAAACCTGCCCATCACGGATGATGACACGGAGATTGTTACTCATGGATGCAAGGAGACGCAAAGAGTATCACAGTCAAGACTACTACTGCAACAGTACAAACCGTTACGTTAGGTCAAGATCAGAGATGTTGAGTATATCGCAGTCGTTGAGAATATCACAGTGCAGTCGTTGAGAATATCGCAGTGCAGTCGTTGAGAATATCGCAGACGCAGAGTATCACAGTCAAGACTACTACCGCAACAGTACAAACCGTTACGTTAGGTCAGAGACGTTAAGAATATCGCAGTCAAGACTACCGCAACAGTACAAACCGTTACGTTAGATGAGGAAGAAGGTAACGAAATGGGAGAAGGTTTGGTGCATCTAATATAGACGTAGCGGAGTTTCAACAATATGGGGTGTGGTCTGTGGCGGTCTGTGGCCTGTGTGGATTGAGACAAGTGGAGGCAAACAAAACAATGCCACTGTGACTTGGGATGAGTGGAGAAAATTAAAAATTAAAATTAACAACAGAATTTTAACTATGTGGCTTGAGATGTGAAGTAAAGAACTTGAGTTAACCTTGGATTTGGGATGTTGACGATGGTGATGGAGCCAGAGAACGCCGGGCGGCATGACGAGTGAGAATAGGGCTGCCACGGACGTCAAACCAGGAAGCGACGGATGTCGACTTAGAGTTAGGACATTGGCGGTGGGGATGAAAGTAGAGAATACTGGGCACGACCGTACATACAGTCATGCCCTGGAGAAGGTCATGAAAGGTTGCTGCGACGAGACGATAAAAGAGGAGTTAATGCAGGGCATGACTGTACATACAGTCATGCCCTGGAAGAAGGTGAGGAAGGGTCGTTTTCGACAAGGAGAATGGGAGCTCAACAGTACAAACCGTCGAACCTAGTAATAGTTATTAGTACCAAGTTCCATAAAGATGAGGGACTTAGAACTTTGGCGACGAAAGCGCCCAACAATCACAAACACCCATATTAGGAAATTGTTACATAACATTGACATTGACTGCTTGACAGTTTGAACTTTGTACTCTGCTCATCGTCCCCATCCTCGGAGCACGACAGTATGTACTGTCGTGCTCATCGAGTTCATCCTTTGTACTTTCGAGCTGCTCATTGTCCCCATCCTCGAAGCACGACAGTATGTACTGTCGTGCTCATCGAGTTCATTGTTCCTATCTTCGGAGCACAACAGTATGTACTGTCGTGTCTCCTATCCCATTAATCAACCAACAAGTCCAGCCGTCAACACACGTCATCCAACTCGCTTTCGCTTATTGCGACCCCTTGGATCACGTTGGCCCTGTCTTCTACGTCAGGTAACCAAGTCGTTTGTTAAAATCCAACCCCATTGACCAACCGTTAAACGATCCAGCCGTTAACATCTGTCATCCCCTCCACCGTACATACAGTGGAGGTGGAATTGACTCAGTCCATCTACCAATGCGGTGGAGGGCATAATGCAAAACCTATGTCTATGTTCAACTAGCGTGCTACATGTACTGGACGAGAGATAGGTCCTTCGTCTCTTCATCTCCTTTCGCTGCTCGCAGGTAATCAGTATCGCACTTGCCCCTATGGTCATCTTTGTCGATCGCTCCGTCCGCTTCTTGAGCTAGCTCCATGATCTTTGCCGCTAATTCCCGGAGCATCATAATGTCATTTTTGACGTATCCTTTGGTCGGCCCTTCCTTATCGTCCTTCTGGATATCTACATACTCGTCAAATATCATGGCAGCTTGGACACGCTGTGAAAAGTCATCAGCCACATTAATCATTGTTGCCGAAGTCATGTACCCATGTACACGGTTCAGTGCGCTATCCTGAAGGTGCGTCAGTTAGATCCCTGCTGACCAACTGGCCCACTTACCAAAAAGCTGTCTCTATAATTTATCAGCAGGAAGACGCTCATAGATAGCAGTGCCAGTAGTCGTGTCAACATAACCAGTATGTGCGACAGGGACCAGTAATCCCCTGAGGGCGCCTTGGATACCTTCGGCACTGCGTAGTCATACGCCCATATCTTGATTGTAGTTTTCCCGCGCCCTAGCACGGGCAAAGTGCTGGCAATTGTGCAGCGGCCATTGAGATCGCGTGCCTAAACCAGGTCAGTGACATTTTTTTCTGACTAGTCTTAATACTTACGGATATTGTTTGCACAAGGCCAGTGTCCGCGTGGTGGAGGGTTTGAAGTGTCTCCCCTGTCTTCCGATCAAATATATATACTAGCCCATGGTCACTTCCTCCCACAACTACCTTGCCGTCTTCCCCGAATGCCACTTGCTTCGGGACCGATATGCTTGGCAAACCAGTTGCAAACGTTCGAACAAACTCACCATCACCTTCAAGGCGATATAATGTAAACCCGTCTGTTGCATTATCAACAACGAACACCCCCCGCTTGGAGTACACCGCAGCATGACCACTATATAATGTCAGTAACGCGCCCAGGTCAAGAGCGGTAGTTTCTCACATCACTGATTTGCAGCTAATTTCTTGCACTATGTCGCCATCTTCATCCTTCAGTTTCATGCTGTTCGGCTCTCAGCATCAGGCAATGAAAGTATGCAGTGGAAGGACTGACAAGTTGCCATCATAGAGCCCGAACACATAGATGCTCCGGTTATCTGTGAACGCTACCGACTTGGGCACCGTATTTTCAAGTCGCACTGCGAAGACGGGCTGGAGCTGCGAGCTTGTATTGAGCGTCAGAACCTGAACCATTTTGTCTCTAGTTCCGAAAAAATGAGGGTAGAAAAAGAGAACGAGCTCGCTAACATGGAGCAGCGCTTTGCAAGACACGGTAGGCAACAGCATGCGGCCACGGAAATCGGCACAGACCCCACCCAAAGGAACGCTCAACAGCCACCCCACACGCCCCAGAAACCACAGCTCAAGACTCCGTGCCTCGAGACGATTAAAAAGATCAGGAAGGCACGTGGAACAACACGCAAGATGCGTCTGGTATCTGTAGTAGAGGTAAGTACTAAGCGGTCGGAACTCGTTTTAAACTCACGTCATAGCAGGACGCTGACGAGCCTATGGAAACGCATCGAGAACGATCATCGACAATTGAGCAAGAGCCACAGCGATTTCAGCCTGACGACGTCTACCCTATGTCTGCGATGGAAAACGCGATCTCCAAAGGCATAGAGGCGGCACTCAGACGCATCCTTGTCGATAAGGATATTTTGACATCCACGAAGCGTAGTCCTCGAAGGAAAAAGAAGCAGGATGATGAAATTAGGATAGAAAGGGCCGCAGATTTGAGCCACGAAAGAGACTTCCTTCTTGTGAGAGTTGAATTTTTGACGTATATGCTGATGCTAAGCATGAAGTAGGGTGAAATCCGGCGTCTCCTCAAAGATACCTTCAGTATATCTCAAGACGCAGATTTTATTGTGCACCAGCCGGTGGATCGTGAAGATGTGTACTCGTACGAGTATGAAGATGGCCCAGGCCCCAACACCCAGAATCTGGCCTTTGATCTCAAAAACGGATTTAACACCCCCTGGAATGCGAAAATTCTCGATATTCTCCTTGAAGAATTGAAAAAGAGGAGTGTAGAAGAGGAGTGGCCGTTCCGGAGGTCGGATGCCTATTATAAGGCAATACTCGAAGATCGCTACAAGCGGATGCGGATGGTCTGGAGAGCAGCCCAACCAAAGGTTACAGCAAAGGGCTGCTTGGAGACTGCGGAAGAAGTGGAGGAGAGGTTGATTGCAAAAAGAGGTGAAAATCTGAAGTCGGTTCGTTAAACAACTCGTTGGCGAAATGTATGTCCGCAGCATGATCTCAAGGCTCTTCGGATACTAATGCGTCTATAGAAATATCTCCGCAGAGCAAAAGTCCTGGAGCAAGTTATTGAGCTGAAGAAAGATGGCGAGGACGACGACCTACCAGCTTGGCAGTGGCTTCAAAAACTAGTCAAGACGCTGGGAGACGGGGGTATGAGTTCAGAAGAAAGTGATATCGAAAACGACGTCGAATGTGTGCTCCGGGTCAAGAACATGGCATGGCATCGCGGGATAGAGCGAGAACTGAATATCATCAATAATCAGAGAGTCTTGGATGATGAAATTTTCGCGCCCCAGGGTTCCAAACCAATGAAGAGGATACGCGCATCGGGAAATTCGACGACTGTACGGAACCCGGTCACTGGATTACCCAAGGCCCTATACAACGGCAGATGGTTTGATGGTCTTACTGGAGGTCAGGTAGAAAGGTTGAATGTGTCAGATGAGATGTTCCGATGGATGAAAGTTGGTGTAGCATAGTAGCGTGTTGAATAGACGGTGTAAGTGAACCGCAGGGAACGGAAGATAAGTCAATTCCCCCTCCACTGTATGTACGGTGGAGGGGATGACGCGTGTTGACGGCTGGCTGGATCGTTGCGAGAGCGAGTTAGCCATTGCCCACTCCACTGTATGTACGGTGGAGGGGATGACGTGTGTTGATGGCTGGACATGTTGGTTGATTAATGGTTGGATCTGTCAACAAATGGGCTTACCTGACTAACGGGCCAGCGTGATCTAAAGGATTGCAGTAAGCGAAGGCGGATGACCTGGAGTTGATGGCTTGATCATTCCGCGAAAAAGGATGGAGTTGGCGAGGTGGTGGGTGGTAATGGAATAGGAGACACGACAGTACATACCGTTGTGCTCCGAAGATAGGAACAATGAACTCGATGAGCACGACAGTACATACTGTCAGTGCTTCGAGGATGGGGACAATGAGCAGCTCGAAAGTACAAAGGATGAACTCGATGAGCACGACAGTACATACTGTCGTGCTCCGAGGATGGGGACGATGAGCAGAGTACAAAGTTCAAACTGTCAAGCAGTCAATGTCAATGTTATGTAACAATTTCCTAATATGGGTGTTTGTGATTGTTGGGCGCTTTCATCGCCAAAGTTCTAAGTCCTATGGAACTTAGTAACTATTACTCTAGGAGGTTCGACGGTTTGTACTGTCGAGCCTCCCATTCTCCTTGTTGACAACGACCCTTCCTCACCTTCTTCCAGGGCATGACTGTATGTACGGTCGTGCCCGGTGTTCTCTACTTTCATCGTCACCAGACGTCTCGTCGCAGCGACCTTTCACGACCTTCTCCAGGGCATGACTGTATGTACAGTCGTGCCCGTTCATCGCCACCGCCAACGTCCTAATTCTAAGTCAACATCCATCGCTTCCTGGTTCGACGTCCATGGCAGCCCTTCCCGCCCGGCGTTCTTTGCCAACGATCAGTCCACACCAAGCTCAGGTCGCCGCCAGCTCTCCCTGACAACAGAGTTATATCTTGTTTGGTAGTTCTTGTAATGAACGTCATATTTTCGTACAAGGCTTACTGCTGTCTTGTTATTTCATTACTGGAAATTGCGAGTTGTTTCTTTTATTGTTGTTGTTCGTCTGACTCAAAAGCTTGCCTACGCAGTCGTTTCTTGCTCTCCAATTCACTCCCATCAATTCATAGAAATGACGGTACATACTGTCGTTGCTATTCGCCCCGCTCTTCATGCCTGTGTCTCACTCACTGTTCAAACGGTGCTTCTGTGAGGAATGCATCGAAACCGGTGATCGTGCTGAGGATGGCACCCCTAAGGGGGTACTCATTGCAGAACGTCTTATGGCTGCACATTTACAACGCACCAAATGTACCCAAGCAGAACATGCTGCTGCTGGCTCTCCCCGCACGAACGCCATCACGGATTTGTTAGTCTCACAGCTGGACGCACTCGCTCTTATCGACAACAAACCACCTGTTTCTCACCCCAACCCCACTCCACCATTATCTATTACGGCTCTCGCAGATGATCTTGAGCAACTCACTTTGCTAGATCATTTTGTTGCCCGTGAACCCAGAGTCGCTATTTCTGGCGACGTCTCCCAAAAGAACATACATCGGCCAACTGTGAAGGCCTTGAGGGTCCTCAATAACATAGAGTTCCGCGTTCAGCGGTGCTTTCGGTTGTTACTTGCGGGTAATTCCAATGATGTTGGTCGCGAGCTACTATTGCTTCGCACAGCTGTGGAATCCGTCAAACGAAAAGCAGACCTTGTGGTCACACGGAAGAGGGCAATTATGTTGGAGATAGATGGCTTAGAAGCTCAGTTCAACAGTCAAAAGCCTCCCGAAATGGACTTACGTGCAGCAGTCGAATTTGATACCAGTAAGAGTCGATTATCTTCATCGTGATCGTGTCCTGAATAGTCAATAGATGTTCACCATGATTTTCCGCTGGATCAGTGTGATGAAATCGCACAGGTCGCCTTATTCATCACTGTGACATGTAAAGTCATCATGGGGGTCAGCAAGCGAGCCTGCGATTTCCTCTTGGGACTTATTTCAATCATGTTATTCCTCGCTTTCCAGAGATCGGATGGTAGCCTCAGCTCTTCCCATCAAAATGTGCTCAGGCAAATTCCAAAGAGTTTCGACACCGTGCTCTCAAGATTCCATCTCACTGAGAAAACTGTCGTCTATGCAGTCTGCCCCAGTTGTCACTGCACTTACAGCCCACATCATGCAGACGGCTCAACTATTCCTACATATCCTGAACGTTGCACACACCACCCCACGCCAGAGGCCGAATGTGGCGAGTCATTGCTCAGCCCTGGCCCTGATGGAGTAGTGCGACCGAAGAAGACATTTGTTTACCACAATTTTAAAGACTACCTCGCCGGTCTCCTCTCCCGTGCAGATATTGAGGGGGCGATGGATCAAGCCTGCGACGATTTGCAAGACTCGATCAATTCCCCCCATCCACCTTTGATGAAACACGCATTTGAGGCTCAGTTTCTCCGTCAATTTTGTGGCCCAGACCCAGGTTCACTTTTTATTGATAGAGGAGATGAAGGGCACTATGCTTTCGCCCTTTTCGTGGACTTCTTCAATCCGGAGGGCATGAATTTGCGTGGTGCCAACAAATCCTCTGGCATCATCTCTATGGCATGCTTGAATCTACCATTGGATATCAGGTATAAGCCCGAAAACATGTATCTTGCAGGAATCATCCCAGGTCCGAAACAGCCGTCCCTCAAGCATCTCAATCACTACATCCGGCCACTTATTGATGACATGGTAGACTCATGGGAGCGCGGCATCAATTTTTCCAAGACTGCTTGTTTTCCCACTGGCCGGCTTGCTCGCAGCGCTATTGTTTTGGCAGTTTGTGATCTTCCTGCCGCTCGTCATCTTGCTTCTTTAGCTGGAACCAGTAGCCATTTTTATTGTAGCGCGTGCAATTGCTACCATAAGACCACGTACGGTAGAGTGGACTTCGAAAGCTGGAAACCTCGTGATAAAGATGAACTCCGGAAGTTCGCTGAGCGGTGGAGGGATGCTGCAACAACCTCCGAACGAGAGAAACTATTCAAAGCTCACAGTGTGCGCTATTCAGAGATGTGGCATTTGCCATACTGGGATCCCTCACGCCAGCTTGTTGTCGACCCGATGCATTGTATATTGGAAGGTTTAGTCCAGCATCACTCTCGTACCCTTCTCGGTTTGACTACAGCAACCACTTCATCTTCATCGACTTTACCCCCTCCGGCCTTTTCATGCGACTTAGGCGATATGCCTCCGGGGATGACTTCGAAGGAAATGACTCAGGTCGCTGCTATACGCACCCTTCTTGTTTCCCAGTTGTCGTCCGATGACGAAAATCTGGATAACCTAAAAAAATCGCTGTTTCGCAAGAATACGGGACCTCTCAAGTTTGTTTGCGAGGCCTTGCGATGCGCTCCCCAGAAATCTAGTAGATTGTTCAAAATCGACTACGTCAAAGCTCTCGTGGAATGGGTAAGTTCTTAATATGTCTACTTTGTTGCAACTTTTTTATGTTTGTTCTCAGCGCTGTGGAAAACCTTTTGCTGCTCCTGAGAAGGAGCTTCAGCTTGGTTCTCTAGATGCCCTTCATCGTGTCCGAGATGTCATCCAACAAATAACCATTCCATCTTGGTTTACTTCAGTCCCAAGCGATTTCGGAAGCGCATCTGCTGGGACGATGAAAGCAGACGAATGGCGCTCTCTAATCACCGTCTACATTCCTATTGCCCTCGTGAGCTTGTGGGGGGCCGGTACCTCGCATCCTTCCGATGAAGTCGGCACTCACCTTAGAGCTGTTCTCGACCATACTATGGAACTTGTTTGCGCGGTGTATCTCACATGCGCCCGAACAACGACTGTAGAGAGAGCACACACGTATCGCTCTCACATTGCGCTTTATGTTGGAAATTTGAAGAAGATATACCCTAACATCGCTCTGCATCCAAATCACCACGCTGCCTTCCACATATACGACTTTCTACTCCTATTTGGCCCGGCCCACTCTTGGTGGTGCTTTCCTTTCGAACGTTTGATTGGAATACTTCAGCGTCTTCCAGTAAATCATAAGACTGGTGAGTTTTTACGGAACACCAGTGTAATAGCGGGACTGACTTTTCAAGGCAAGTCGGAAACTACCATGTTATACTCATTCATCAAAACTTCAAAACTTCACCGTTGGCTCAGTCGACCTGACTGTTCACCGGCTATTCAAGAGTGCAAATTTCTGTTTGACAGCACGTATGCTCCCAAGAGCGCTGGAACTCTCGGTGAAGAACTTGCTGAAGATCCTTTGGACGACAGTTTACAGGCTCCTTCCTCCGCTGTAGCTGTGGCTGTTCCTGAAGCCTTGTTTGCGCTTATCAAACGACGCACAGCAATATTACGCGCACAACTAAAATTCAATGGGATTGTCTATAGCAGAGCCTCTACTCACGTCGGGAATAGTCAAGTTTTTTATTATTCTCAGGGTGACCACTTATTGTCTCCTGTCCCCGGCAGTATCCAACATATCTATGCTACACCCACGGGTGAACTGGTGTTTGCTGTCCACAAGCTCCTCCCACGTCACGATCAGTCCATTGATCCATTTGCTATGTATCCTCATTTTCCCGCCAAAATGTACTTGTCAAGCTCAAGTAGTCATTTGGAAAATGTCAAGGTATCCTGGGTTGTTAGTCACTTTGCTCGATGGGCAGTTTCGAGTGATACTGTAGTCATACTATCTCTATCTCGCGTAAGTACAATTCACCTCGAGAA